CAGGCACACACACGTGCTCAGCGTGATTTTCAGGTTTCCTGGATTTGAACCATGGTTGGCCACATGAGAGTCTAGAGCCTTAATCACCACACCATCTGCTGACCACTCATTGACAATTTTCATCCTAAGTGTTAAGATTATAATGTGTTGGATAGACTGGGTTAAATAAATTGCACTATTAAAATTAAACTTTCTATTTGTCTTTCAATGTGGCTGCTATAAAATTTTAAATTCTATAAGAAGCTTTCATATTTCTATTAGATCACACTGCTCTAAGCCCTAACTTCCAATGTTAAACTCCATAAGACTATTAATATTTTAACATCCCATAAGCACTTTCTGAAACTCTCTGTCTTCCCAGCCCTCAGACATTCTATCCTTCTGCTTCCACTAATCTGTGTTTCCTGTTTCATTCACTCGGAGAAAGGCAACACGATCCACCCAGTGACCAGCTGGAAAAATTGAAAGACACCTTTTCCTTTATTCCACATGTTCATACATTCTCTGGGTACCATAATGAACCATCTCTGAAGTATGGTATAAATCTGCCACCTCTTTTCAATCCCATTATGAATACTCGAGTTCAAAATAACATCAGCTCTCACTGGCATTACTGCGCCAACTCCCACCGGCCTCCCTGCCTCCTCAGTTGGCACCTTCCAGCCTTCCAGATTTCAGTAAGAGTAATCTTTCCAGGAAACAAATCTGATGTCAATCTGCTGAGTACTCCCCCAAACACTTTATTACTGCCAGTAAGCTCTTTTCTGGTTTGCAGTCAACTTTTTTCCCACCATCCTTCTTAAGTACAGGCATTTCCTCCATATCAAGTGGTGTCCATTTCACTGTATGCACTGTGGCTGTTCTCACCTCCTGGGCCTTTGCATATATCATTTTTTATGTTCAGAATATGCTTTTCACCTCCTTCTTCCTCTGACTAAGTGCTACTCATATTTCAAAGTTTACTTTGTTTCCCCTAAATTTCTTTTCCAAGACCCAAGTATAGATGAAGTACTCTTCTTTTATTTAAGAATTATTTCATTTCATTTCATTTATTGTTATTATTATGTTAATTTAACCAGAGAGAAAGGGAAAGTGAAAAAGCACGTCACTAGGTCTGGGACTTGAACCGTAGTCAGTCAGACATGTGGGAGTCCAGTGCCTTAACCACCATGCTACCTGCCAGCTCCTTAAGTACCCTTCTTGTGTGCTCCCAAAACAACCTGAATTTCTCCAATAACAATGTTTGGCGACTGTATTTTTATTGCTTTTTTTTGTTCGTTTGTTTTGTTTGGAGATTTTTTTTTTGGTCTGTTTTTGCCTTCACAAGAGTGTAAGAACTTTTGGTGCCTATCTGTTTTCACTTACTGGACCATCTGTCTCTAGGATCTTGCATGGCCTGAAGCCCTAGTAGCATCAATAGCTGCAGGGATGCATGAATAGATGGGTAGGTGAGTAGATTAAAGAAATTGTTTCTATGGCTTAAAGACTGAAGAGGAGCCTTACGTTCAGAAGTATGGACATTTGCAGTGTGGACATTTGTTTATAGAGTACAGATGGTAGAGAAATTGGGATCTTTGTTAGACGCAGTAGGTCAAAACTTGTTTTCTTAGGTCCTGTTACTTCTCCTTTTATCTTTTCACTTTCTTAAAACAGGAAATTACTTTCTACTATTCTCCCAGGGCTTGGCTCTTCATCTGCAATCCAATAATATCCCTAAGGTCAAACTTACTGGTTTAACTTAATATCACTTCCATGGAGGATGACTGAATTCTGAAATAGTTTTGAAATTCAAGGTAGGCATAGCTAATGGAGGATTTGCAGTCACACTGACTTCTAGTGAGCTTTCTGTTTAGATATTTGCTTCATTTGTAGCTTGCTGCGGCAACTAGTCATGCAAGAGAGAGAGGTAAAGAAACCTTCAAAATGCACTGGAGGGGCCGATCGTGTGGGGATGAGAGAGAGATGAGGGCTGAGAAAATGATTAGCTGTTTTACAGTAAAACCCAGAGGAAAGTGAGCACTAACTGGAATGTGGTTTTATCCCTCCAGGAATTCTATGGAGCCCGCCAGGAATTAGCCTTGACGGTAATGAGGCCATCAATGACCCTTTCAGAGAATGCTCAGAGACCTTAACTTTGTTTGGAGACTGTGTGGGTGGAACTTCCTGTTTGCGCAGGGAGCAGTATAAAGCCCAGTTGCTCGGGTTGTTTGGGACCGGATCGATTGTCGGCAGTAAGGTACAACCCAGTCTGGTCTCCTCTGGGCCTGTCTTCCCGCAGCATGGGGAAGAACCGGCCCCTTCATCCCGGTCTTGTTCTCCTCCTCCTGGCGCTCCTGCCCGCAGATGCCTCCATCTCTGGAAAACCGTGAGTTTCTCGAAGAGCATGGAGCATGAACTTCAGAGTCCTTTCCTTCATGTCAGATCCTGCTTCACATCATGTATCTGTCTTTCTGTAACACGGCTGCCTTCTGACCCCCAAGGTTCCTTCCAACTGCCAGATCCCATAAATCTGGGGAATGCATTCCTCTCTTATGCTTAAGCATTTTTCTCCAACTCTCTGGATCTGGATCTCTGAATCTCTAAATATTTTGGTACTTTGCAAAGCCTTAAAAGGGGGCATCAGAAATCGATAACTCTTTTTAAGGGATTCATTTTCAGGTCCTCTCTTCATATTGATCTGCTTGAGACTGTGCTGTTTATCCTTTCTTACTGCCCTTTTTATAATAAACCTCCCCCTCAACCAGATATTACCATGAAGTATTTCTGGAGTGTAAACATCTCTCTCTAGGGTGCCAAATAAAGGGATAACTTGAAGAACTGGTGTTGATATTGAGAAATTAAAGGGCTCTAATGACAGGGGAGACAGTTCAGTTGCTAATGAATGTCAATAAAAATGGAGGAAGAGCTAAAGGAACTTCCAGCCAACAGATGATAGAATTGTTGATAACGGTACTGGGCGATGTTTAGTATGTTGTAAGGAGTTGCATGAAGTGGTTATAATGACACAACCGACTTGTAGGTGAACCATTCTTCCTCGAATTTATAACTACACAAAACGAAAAGGGCAACCCAGTCCATGTCAGAACGTGCTTAATTCTTACAATAAGGAACATTCATCCATAGATACGTCAGTGCACTGGGGGTGAAGACGGCTCATCATTTTCATTCCAGATGTGCTTGAAAAGAACTTAAATTTAGAGCCATGCCAGTGGCGTGCTGGTTAAGGTGGCTGGACCCCACATGGCTGACTGTGAGGTTTGAGTCCCAGATCCAATGACTTGAAAAACATACTGGGTGGGAGAAAGGAAAGGAGCTTGGAGGAGAAAAGAATGCAGAGTGGCCGGTATAAATCTGCCACCTCTTTTCAATCCCATTATGAATACTCGAGTTCAAAATAACATCAGCTCTCACTGGCATTACTGCGCCAACTCCCACCGGCCTCCCTGCCTCCTCAGTTGGCACCTTCCAGCCTTCCAGATTTCAGTAAGAGTAATCTTTCCAGGAAACAAATCTGATGTCAATCTGCTGAGTACTCCCCCAAACACTTTATTACTGCCAGTAAGCTCTTTTCTGGTTTGCAGTCAACTTTTTTCCCACCATCCTTCTTAAGTACAGGCATTTCCTCCATATCAAGTGGTGTCCATTTCACTGTATGCACTGTGGCTGTTCTCACCTCCTGGGCCTTTGCATATATCATTTTTTATGTTCAGAATATGCTTTTCACCTCCTTCTTCCTCTGACTAAGTGCTACTCATATTTCAAAGTTTACTTTGTTTCCCCTAAATTTCTTTTCCAAGACCCAAGTATAGATGAAGTACTCTTCTTTTATTTAAGAATTATTTCATTTCATTTCATTTATTGTTATTATTATGTTAATTTAACCAGAGAGAAAGGGAAAGTGAAAAAGCACGTCACTAGGTCTGGGACTTGAACCGTAGTCAGTCAGACATGTGGGAGTCCAGTGCCTTAACCACCATGCTACCTGCCAGCTCCTTAAGTACCCTTCTTGTGTGCTCCCAAAACAACCTGAATTTCTCCAATAACAATGTTTGGCGACTGTATTTTTATTGCTTTTTTTTGTTCGTTTGTTTTGTTTGGAGATTTTTTTTTTGGTCTGTTTTTGCCTTCACAAGAGTGTAAGAACTTTTGGTGCCTATCTGTTTTCACTTACTGGACCATCTGTCTCTAGGATCTTGCATGGCCTGAAGCCCTAGTAGCATCAATAGCTGCAGGGATGCATGAATAGATGGGTAGGTGAGTAGATTAAAGAAATTGTTTCTATGGCTTAAAGACTGAAGAGGAGCCTTACGTTCAGAAGTATGGACATTTGCAGTGTGGACATTTGTTTATAGAGTACAGATGGTAGAGAAATTGGGATCTTTGTTAGACGCAGTAGGTCAAAACTTGTTTTCTTAGGTCCTGTTACTTCTCCTTTTATCTTTTCACTTTCTTAAAACAGGAAATTACTTTCTACTATTCTCCCAGGGCTTGGCTCTTCATCTGCAATCCAATAATATCCCTAAGGTCAAACTTACTGGTTTAACTTAATATCACTTCCATGGAGGATGACTGAATTCTGAAATAGTTTTGAAATTCAAGGTAGGCATAGCTAATGGAGGATTTGCAGTCACACTGACTTCTAGTGAGCTTTCTGTTTAGATATTTGCTTCATTTGTAGCTTGCTGCGGCAACTAGTCATGCAAGAGAGAGAGGTAAAGAAACCTTCAAAATGCACTGGAGGGGCCGATCGTGTGGGGATGAGAGAGAGATGAGGGCTGAGAAAATGATTAGCTGTTTTACAGTAAAACCCAGAGGAAAGTGAGCACTAACTGGAATGTGGTTTTATCCCTCCAGGAATTCTATGGAGCCCGCCAGGAATTAGCCTTGACGGTAATGAGGCCATCAATGACCCTTTCAGAGAATGCTCAGAGACCTTAACTTTGTTTGGAGACTGTGTGGGTGGAACTTCCTGTTTGCGCAGGGAGCAGTATAAAGCCCAGTTGCTCGGGTTGTTTGGGACCGGATCGATTGTCGGCAGTAAGGTACAACCCAGTCTGGTCTCCTCTGGGCCTGTCTTCCCGCAGCATGGGGAAGAACCGGCCCCTTCATCCCGGTCTTGTTCTCCTCCTCCTGGCGCTCCTGCCCGCAGATGCCTCCATCTCTGGAAAACCGTGAGTTTCTCGAAGAGCATGGAGCATGAACTTCAGAGTCCTTTCCTTCATGTCAGATCCTGCTTCACATCATGTATCTGTCTTTCTGTAACACGGCTGCCTTCTGACCCCCAAGGTTCCTTCCAACTGCCAGATCCCATAAATCTGGGGAATGCATTCCTCTCTTATGCTTAAGCATTTTTCTCCAACTCTCTGGATCTGGATCTCTGAATCTCTAAATATTTTGGTACTTTGCAAAGCCTTAAAAGGGGGCATCAGAAATCGATAACTCTTTTTAAGGGATTCATTTTCAGGTCCTCTCTTCATATTGATCTGCTTGAGACTGTGCTGTTTATCCTTTCTTACTGCCCTTTTTATAATAAACCTCCCCCTCAACCAGATATTACCATGAAGTATTTCTGGAGTGTAAACATCTCTCTCTAGGGTGCCAAATAAAGGGATAACTTGAAGAACTGGTGTTGATATTGAGAAATTAAAGGGCTCTAATGACAGGGGAGACAGTTCAGTTGCTAATGAATGTCAATAAAAATGGAGGAAGAGCTAAAGGAACTTCCAGCCAACAGATGATAGAATTGTTGATAACGGTACTGGGCGATGTTTAGTATGTTGTAAGGAGTTGCATGAAGTGGTTATAATGACACAACCGACTTGTAGGTGAACCATTCTTCCTCGAATTTATAACTACACAAAACGAAAAGGGCAACCCAGTCCATGTCAGAACGTGCTTAATTCTTACAATAAGGAACATTCATCCATAGATACGTCAGTGCACTGGGGGTGAAGACGGCTCATCATTTTCATTCCAGATGTGCTTGAAAAGAACTTAAATTTAGAGCCATGCCAGTGGCGTGCTGGTTAAGGTGGCTGGACCCCACATGGCTGACTGTGAGGTTTGAGTCCCAGATCCAATGACTTGAAAAACATACTGGGTGGGAGAAAGGAAAGGAGCTTGGAGGAGAAAAGAATGCAGAGTGGCCGTCCCTCTTGAGGGGTTCTCTCTCTCTCTCTCTCTCTCTCTCTCTCTCTCCCTAGCAAATGCACACATCCTATAGCAAACTGAAAAGAAAAATCATAATTCTTAATGTATTTTTTAATTATTTATTTAATTTTATTCATTCATTCATTCATTTTAATTTGACCAGAGAGAGACACAGAGAGAGAAAGAGAGAGAGAGAGAGAAATGAGAAAGCAAGCCACCAGGTTCAGCTATGTGGGAATGTCCAGAACCTTAACCACCACACCACATGCTGGTCCTGTAATGTATTTATTTTATTTTGATCATATATTAATACTTTTAAGAATAGCTCAAGTCAGAAGAAAATGTTTAATATTTACAAATATTTTAAAGAATTATATATTCTATTTTACTCATTATTATTGTTATCCTTTAGTTTGCTATAGGGCATGTGCATTCATCAGAGAGAGACAGAAAGAGAGAGGGAAAGTTAGAGAGCCAGCTGCCAGATCTGGGACTCGAACCACAGTCAGCCATGTGGGAGTCCAGCACCCCAAGCACCACACCACCTACTGGTCCAATTTATGGTCACATTATATTTATAAGAACAATTAAAGTTGCATAACCACATATACAATATATATGGGGGGGGCTTCAAAAAGTTCACAGAAATGGGTTATTATAAAAAACTATAGGAACAAGCAGGTGGTGAAGTGGTTACATTGTGGACTCCCACATGGCCAACTATGGTTAGAGTCCCAGACCCAAGAGCTTGAAACTCACACCAGGCATGTGTGCATACATGCCCAAAATCCCAGGAGGAGAATGGAGGAGAGGGTATTGTGGCATGGCCATGTGCCTGGGGAGTGATTTCTTACTTTCTGTCTCTCTATCTCTCTCTCTGCCTCTTGGCAAGCTTATGTACCCTGTAGCAAAAATATTTCTCTAAAAAAAATTAAAAATTAAAAAAATTGCATAAATTTCACATTTTTTGCCCCAAAATGAACTTGTACTTTAATTCCATTTTTCCTCTCATATATATTTATGTGTGTATTTATATTTGTTAATTAAGATATAAGAAGGATCCATAAAATATTGTGAAGCACAAAAATCTTAGGATAAAAAAAAAAAAAAATCTTAGGATAAACCTCAGCGTGGTAAGTGGCATAAAAATTCAAATTCAAGGAAGAGAAAAAGAAAAGACATTAATTTTCTGACTATTACTAAAAGAACTTTTTAATGTAGTTTTTAAGCAGGTGAGTATGTGTGTATATATATTTTTCTTTCTTTTTTTAAAAAGAAATCTCCTCCCAGGTAGATGGTCACACTGCAATCCCTTCTCCTACATTCTCCTCTTTGGATTTTGGGTATGCATGCATGCCCAGTGTGATTTTCAAGTTACTGGGTCCAGGACTCAAGTCGCAGTCAGCCATGTGGGAGTCCAGAACCCTAACTACCACACTGCCTGCTGGCCCATGTGTATTTTATTCTTCTGATATTAAAGGTTCTGTAGAATCATCTTACGGGTTACCAAAATCAGTCATTCGAGGACGTTTTTGGAGTGAAGCCATTGTCTAGCCGTGAGGTGAAAAGTCAATATTTAGCATGTAATCACCCCTGGTTAGGTAACAGGCTGAGACTGTTCATTGCTTACTGCAACTGAGACTTTAAACTAATGACTCGCTTTCTTTGAACCTGTCTGGAAAGTGGAAGAAAGTATCTAACATCCGATTCTTACAGGATTGTTGAAATATCTACATATGTACTTTCTGATGAAAGTTCTATAATTGGAATTGTTTTTAGAGCGTTCACATGTAGTGAAAGCTTGTTTGCTTTTATAGCAATCCTAAGATAAGACAGATTTATAGCATAAATAAATTTAACTAATATATTTTTATTTGAATTCAGATATTCACCGATTGGGGTTCCTTAAAATGAGATATACTTATAAATTTTTACCCGATTAAGGCTCAAGTAAAATATTCACTGCCCTGGCATATGAGGGAAAAGGGAAATAATTCCTGTGCATGCCATTTAATAGCAGAGATTCAGGCTTATCACTGTCTTCTTTTTTTAAGAGATTTTTGCTAAAGGGCACATGTGCTCACCAGTGAGATGGAGAAAAACAGAAACTGAGAAATCACCCCCCAGAGGGATGGCCGCATCTCAATCCCCTCTCCTCCATTCTCCTCTCAGGATCTTGGGTGTGCACACATGTACGCCCAGAACGAGTTTTAAGTTTCCAGGTTTGGGACTCAAACTGGAGTCGACCCCGTGGGGGTCCAGCAATGTAATCATTACCCCACCTGCTGGTCCCTGTCTCTTCTTGATAATAACAATCATTGCGATTAAAAATAATGCTCTTAATAGTAGTGTTCTTCCCTCACTTTTCTCTAACGGGTCTCTCTCATTCCCAGGCAGTATATGGTGCTGGTCCCCTCCCTGATCCACACTGGGACCCCTGTAAAGGGCTGTGTCCTTCTAAGATACCTGAACGAGACAGTGACTGTTCACACTTCCTTGGAGTCCGTCAGGGAAAACAAGAGCCTCATGACTGACCTGGTGGCAAAGGAGGACCTATTCCACTGCTTCACCTTCACAGTGAGTCTGGCGTTTGGACTCCAAGCCATTGGTCATGGCTGTAGGGATCTCGCATTCAGTCATGATAAGACTTTGGGAGACTGAGGAGAGCTTCAGGAAGGAATCATCTACATGTAGAGTCCATGTATCAAGTGTGGAAATTAAGGAACAATTCCTGAATTTCCAACCATAGGAAATAAATATTTATGGGCATGTTAAAAATCAATTTGATGATAAAAAAAAAAATCTCTTCACCACTACTCACACCATCACCACCACTACTCATGAGAAAGAAAAACTGCACAAAATAAAGAGAAGAATGTGACTTCTTAAATTAAAATGGTAAAACACAATAAAGCCAGCTAGGCCAAAGATGAGCATGCCTCCAGAATACATCACTCCATACTCTTTCTAACAGTAATTGCCCTGAGCAAATGTCCAATATCTCTTCAGAGTTCCATGTACGTGAGATGCTTACAATCTGGTACCAATAAAAGACATATCTTAGTGTGAAGAATATTTTTTTTCCTATAGTCTTAATTCATGTGTCTACCGTGTGATTTTCGCATATAATGTCAACTTAGTAAAACTCTGTATATGATTGAATCAAGACTGAATTGTCCAACTATGTGAATATGTAAGTCTCAGTTATAGCCTTTCTTATTGATATATTTTCTTCACCTTTGGTTCTGTCTCCCCAACTGTAAAATGGCAGCCGTAACTCTTGTGCATGGCACCTTTCCTAGAAAAGAAGGAGCGGGTGAAGCTAAGTGAAAAGGACAAGACTTCCAGGGAGGAGAGGAACAGGGAACAGAGGCAGAGACTTGGGAAACTAACCGGGTTCTCAGAGCCTTTCTTACGCTTCAGGTCCCAAAGTCTCCCACCAATCAGGAGGTGATGTTCCTCACTGTCCAAGTGAAAGGACCAACCCAAGAATTCCAGAGACGGACTACAGTAATGGTTAAAAACAAAGAGAGTCTGATCCTCATCCAGACGGACAAACCCATCTACAAACCGATGCAGACAGGTATGAAGGGGCCTACAGTCAGGGAAGTATCAGAAGAACAGATCTTTCTTCCCTGTATGTAACCCAGTCCTAGTTCTTGGATGGCATGGCTTGCCAGCTTATCAGCCTAGTTTAGGATTTAGGAGATTTATGAAAAATATTTCTGTTTCAGTGAAATTTCGTGTTGTCTCATTGGATGAAGACTTTCGCCCCCTGAATGAGATGGTGAGTGTCCTCTTTTCTACATAAAAGCATTATTATCTGTTTAAACAGTCTGGGAGCCTGTTTTTGCTGCTCTGTGGAGAACCAAAGAGAAGAAGAATCTGGAATTACACTAATTTCTAGCAATACAATAACACATGATCCTCATTGAAAACATGATCCCAGGTCGGGACCAATAGTTAGCGTAATGACTATGTTGCTGAACTCCCATGTAGCTGACCGCGGTTCGAGTCCCTGACCCGGTGACTTAAACTCACGCCGGGCACATGTGCATGTGAGCCCAAGATCCCGAGAGGAGAATGGAGAAGAGATTGCGGCGTGACCATCCCCCCTGGGGAGTGATTTCTTGCTTTCTATCTCTCTGTCTTCTCTGTCTTTCTGGCGAGTGTATGCACCCTATAACAAAAACCTCTCCAAAAAAAAAAATGATTCCAGGTCGAGAGAGTAGTTACTCTTTTTCTTTTTCTTTCCTAGTACTGGTACTCAGTCGCTTATCACACAATTAAACTTTTTTTTTTTTTTGAGAGGTTTTTCACTATAGGGCGCATGTGCTCGCCAGACAGACAGAGAAACAGAGACAGAAAGCGAGAAATCACCTCCCAGAGGGAATGGCCACACCAAAATCCCGTCTCCTCCATTCTCCTCTCGGGATCTCGGGCACGCACGCACACGTGCCTGGCGTGGGTTTTAAGCCACCAGGTCCAGGATGCGAACCGCAGTCGACTACGTGGGAGTCCAGCGACATAGCCATTACACTAACTGCTGGTTCCCAGACTTATTCTTTTGATCATTACGAATTAGGAAAATAAGAAAGCTGTATTAACTAAAAAACACAGACAAACCATGAAAGAACCAAAATTAAAACAACCTCTCAGGAATTGAATTTTTTTCTAAACATACCTATGAAAAACTCTGATACAAAGGAAGATGAGGATAATCAATTTTTTCCTTCAGACCAACCGTTGATATTGGTGATAAGTAAAACTCTGTTTTAATGCAGATATCAAATCAAGTCATTTTTCTCTTCTAATTTTTTAATCTCAAAAAGAGGCAATTCTCCTCTAGCTCCTAAGGCAGAAAGTTTCTTAACTTCTCTTTTCTCTCCCACCTACATCCACCTCACCAGAACATAATATTGACTGAAAAGATAACCAGTATGGGACCAGCAGGTGCCATGGTGGTTAAGGCGCTGGACTGCCACATGGCCGACCACGGTTTGAGGCCTAGACCTGGTGGCTTGCTTTCTCACTTTCCCTGCCTCTCTCTTTCTGTCTTTCTCTGGTGGGTGCATGTGCCCCATAGCAAAATTAAAAATAATAATAGTAATAATAATAAATAACATTAAGTAATTCTTTATTTTAAAGAGGCCTTTGCCTTAGGGCACATGTACTCACTGGGAAGAAAGAGAGAAAGACAAACACCGTGAGAGAAAGAGTGAGAAATCATCCCCCAGCGGGAAGGCCATGTGACAATCTTCTCTCCTCCATTCTCTTCCCAAGATCTTAGGTATGCTCACACATGTGCCCAGCATGAGTTTTAAGCCACAGATCCAGAACTCAAACCGTAGTTGGCCATGTGGGAGTCTAGTGATATAACCAGTATGCCATCTGCTGGTCCCAAAATAAATAATTCTTTAAAAAAAAATAAAAAAGATATTCAGATTACTTTTTACCATCTGGATTGCTACAACCTAGTTCTGGTCAGTATCACCTCTAAACAAGATTATTATAATAATCTTGAAACTGGTCTTCCAGCTTCTACTTTCACGAGATCCATCACTCTATCAGTTTAACCCTGCATTATTTTTCTTGCCACTTATCACTACCTAAAAAAAATACACCCACACACATACACATACAAGCATATGTGCGTGTCTGTGTCTGTTGATCCCTACTAGAATGTCAGCTCCATGAGGATAGTTCTTTTGTGTATTGCCATATCCTTAGCACCCAGAATGGTACCGCACACAAGTGAGAAGATACTGAAATAAACAAACAGTGAAATAAATAAATAGGTGCCATTCCATTCCTCTCCATCCTTAAAACTACCTAAGAATTCATTGAGCCACCTTAATAATTGGATCTGGGGACCAGCAGGTGGCGTGGTGGTTAAGGCGCTGGACACTCCCACATGGCCGACCAGGGTTCAAGTCCTGAATCTGGTGGCTTGCTTTCTCACTTCCTCTCTCTCACTCTCACCCTCTGTCTCTCTCTGGTCAAATTAAAAAATAAATGGAAAAAAAATAAATAAATAAAATAATTGGATCTGAACAGTTACTGGTCTGTGCTTACTTCTCAGTCTGTAAAATTATATAGCAGAGCAATGTTCCTCACTGGGATGGTATAAACACTTAAGTAATGTTAATAAATCTTGTTTCCCATGAATGGCAGTGTGTGTGTGTGTGTGTGTGTGTGTGTGTGTGTTGCTGATGAACTACTAAGTTCTTAACATTATTTAGTAATTACTTATAATAAATTAATTAAGAGTCCTGTAAATTTAACCTAGAGTTTTCTGTGTTTTACTATAGAGAGAGCTGTTATTTTATGTAAAGCTATTTTGCTTATAAATCAAAACTGGAAATATTCAAGAACAATGATAAATTTCTTTCCTTTTTTGTCTTTCAGATTCCGCTAGTATATATCCAGGTAAGCTTCATTAAACCTTCCATAACTAGAGCAATACATTTGAGGAACATGTTCTTATTGAAGAGAGCCTTACGCTGTTTCAGAAACTTGCCATTAATGGAGAAGCTTTTAGACTGTCCTGGGGCAAGATGGCTATACCTCAGTGCTCTTCTCGCCTCTCACCACCATCCTATTTGTCCACTGTGTGGGTCACAGGAGTTCCCCTAGATTTCTTTTGTTGTCTCTGATGATCTAGGCTCATTTATAAATAACAATTTCTTATCCGTAGGACCCCAAAAGAAATCGCATCGCACAGTGGCAGAACCTGAAGTTAGAGGGTGGCCTCCTGCAATTGTCCTTTCCCCTGTCGTCGGAGCCCTTCCAAGGGTCCTACACAGTGGTAGTACAGAAGGAATCCGGTGGAAGAACCAAGCACCAATTCACTGTACAAGAATTTGGTACGGATCACGAAAAATCATGACATGTTTTTCACCGTGTTGTTAAACTGCTAGGGCCTAGAATTTGAGCTCATTTTGAAGTACTTCTGTCTCCCATGGGTAAGACCAGGCTTGGCATAGAATTGATTGCATAGACGTCCAATGAGGGCATCAATGACTCGCGATCAGAATTTCATATAGTCTGGTTATTTTTGAAATCATTTTTTTAGTTTCTTTTTTAATTTTTTTATAATTTCTTATTTACATTTAATTCTTGTACATTTTATAGCATACAAAGCATGCATGTCGTGTGTGGTAATCAAAGCAGGCGCGTAGTGTGTGATACTCAAACAAGGATATTACCATAAACATCATTTCTAACAAATAACTTTACCTTCTCATGTCTGTTAAGTGCTTTTTCTAATAGCCAAAAAAATTTTTAAATCCTTAGTTTAGTGGAGTCTACCGTAATTCATTCAGGTTGTGGCAATCTATTTTTCTCAACCAGGATCTCCGTGAGGTGAGTGTGGGCATATTAGAGAGTACCGTTACCATTTCAGAGCTCCAAAACATCATTAGAGAATTGTTACAGAAAATGTGAAAATGCTAATGCCCCTGAAATTGAAAACACTCACCAGCTTTCTTTATCACCAATCAACAGTGCTTCCCAAGTTCGAAGTGCAGGTAACAGTGCCAAAGATAATCACTATCTTGGAAGAAGAGATGAACGTGTCAGCATGTGGCCTGTGAGTTGATATTTTAAACTCTTGATAGAAATTATTTAAAGGAGATTCACCATTTGTGATATTATGGCCCCAAAATACCTGGGAGCAGTAGCAACATAAATGCTTTAAATGCTTTGGGAACATCCCAAATATCTCTAATATGTTCTGTTGTTTTTCAATTTTTCCTTTGTCTTTTTTTTTCCATGTCCTTATCAGTATTACTGTAACTACCTTGTGGCACATAACAATCTCTAGCGAGACTATGCTTCCAGGCTTGGTTCTGACAGTGACAAAGCTGCAGACCCACAGCAAAGCAAATGGGCAGAGTTGGGGGGAAGAGAGTTGAAGGCTAGTGACTTTCTATTAATGAGAAATAACCAAACTTATATTAAAGATATAATTTACACATGGTTATAAAGGAAGTTCAGTCATGACAACAAGTCATTTACCTGACTTTCTAGTGGAAACACAGCTTAGATTTAGGATTTGTGGAGAGAGGTATTCAACAGAACTCTCACCCTGCTCATTGCTCTGCCTGAGACAAATTGCATACCTCTCTGCACTGCCGGAGGGGGTTGTTTCTTTCTTTCTTTCTTTCTTTTTTTTTTTTAAGAGAGTTTTTGTATTGTTTTGTTTTGGTTTTGCTATGGAGCACATGTGCTCACTGGAGAGACAGAAAAACAGATAGTGAAAGATCACCCCCCGGGGGCATGGCCACACCACAATCCCTTCTCCTCCATGCACATGCACACATACCTGCAGTGAGTTTTAAGTCACCAGGTTTGGGTCTTGAACCATGGTTGACTACATGGGAGTCCGGCGACATAACCATTATGCCATCTGCTGGTCCCTGTGCTGCCGTTTTTACTTAGAAAACTGGATATGATCTCTCAATTAGTTCCTTCCAATCTTGAAAACTCAAATGGCCAGGATTTTATGCTCCCTATCCCTGCTAGCCCAGAAATAGCTCTAGTGGAAAGAGCAGGCGAGGTGAAGAAGCCAGTCCTGCCTAAAAACCGTAAACATGATGGACCTACCATTCAGCCGGGCGCCTGTCCTAGTGCAGCCTCAGAGTAACGGCAGCAAGTCCTGGTCCCACGAGACTAGTGAGCCATTGCTCCTCCAAATAGGGATGGAGAGAGCATTCCACATGGGGAAGGAAACAAATGCCTTTGAAAACTGGGCAATCATTTGCAACGTGTTCATTGCACAATTCCATTGTAGAAAATAAACAAAACCCAATATATTGGGTTGTCAGAAAAGTCATGATGTTTTTCTACGCAAAAATGCATCATGACTTTTCCAACAACCCAATAACAGATGGCCCATGTGGGGAGAGGATAATGGAAGAAGAGATGCCATCATATTAATAGTTCGCATTCCTCAGTGAAACTGAGGATATCCATTTATTCTCTTTCGTTGTTTGACTGTTTGTTGGTCATTTAGTTTTGTTTGTTGATTTTTTTATAGGTTTTTGCCATAGGGTGCATGCACTCACCAGAGAGAGACAGAGTGAAAGTGAGAAATTGTCCTCCAAGGGGAATGGACCATCCTCAAATCCTTTCTCCTCCATTCTCCTCTCAGGATTTTGGGCATGCATGCACATGTGCCTGGTGTGATTTTCAGGCTGCCAGATTTAGGACTTGAACTGTGGTCATCTATGTGAGAGTCCAGAGCCTTAACAGCCACACCACCTGCTAGCCTCTATTGCCATTGTTTCTCTCTTAAGAACAGGTTTAGCTTTTGTAATAAGAATGACCTTTTTTTTAAATGAAATTGAAAACAATCTAGGAAAAAGAAAGTCATGAATAAAGAAAAATGTAGTGGGACCAGCAGGAGGCGTGGTAGTAAAGGCACTGAATCTCACATGGCCAGCTCAAGTCTGAGATCCAGCAGCCTGAAAAACATGCTGGGCACATGTGCGTGTGTGCCCAAAATCCCAAGAGGAAAATGGAGAGAAGGGATTGTGTCACAATTCCCCCTGAGGAGCAATCTCAATCTCTCTCTCTCTCTCTCTCTCTCTCTCTCTCTCTCTCTTCCCCCACCTCCCGTCTCATGAGTACACACACCTTGTAGCAAAACAAAACAAAAGAAAGAAAAGAAAAGAAAAATATAGTAAAATGTTAGCATGTTGCACTGAAGATTACTAAAAGATAGTATCGCTGCTCAGTTCAGCTGTCCTTCCGTGGTGTGTGCCATGCAGAGAGCAGTGGAGAGAGTGAATATACTGTGGCCAGCAAGAATAGAAATGTGTAGAGAAGGGCATGTTCGTTCAATGTCTGCTTTATTCACTTGACAATTTCGCATGACAGATACACATATGGGAAGCCTGTTCCAGGACACATGACTGTGAGCGTGTGCAGAAAATACAGTAACCCTTCCAACTGCTTTGGTGGAGACTCGCAGGCTTTCTGTGAGAAATTCAGCGGAGAGGTACATTGAAAACTGTCCTTTCTAGGGACAAACCAACCAAGGCATTGCAGATCAGCAGGAGCTGCAACTTGGTGCTAGCTCAGAAAGGAAATAATCCAATGATAACTCCATGCTAGCTGTGCTCATTGTTTTTTTAACTTGTCAGTGATATTGTCACCATAGAAATAACTTTTGTCCTCTAAACTGCCATTGCGTATTTTCCCAAATGATAGAAGCTGAACCCTCCAAAGCCTCCCTGGTCATCCACATCTGGCTAAAAGGGGACCTGGGAAGGGGGTCGGCGGTGCCTCCACTTTGATGCCAGGGTGGTGGGAACCAGTTCCCAGAGAAGCAGCCATTTCTCAGCCATCGCTGTGTACTGTGGGCAGAGAGGGAGGCTTTGGTAACGACTTAGCTGCCTGCCTCAGTTAAGATTGCCCCCAGAATTTAAGGCATCTCTATCTCATTCTCTCTGGAGAATTTCAGATCATACATGAGATGTTGTGAGATGTAATGATAGAATATTTATTGTGTTCTCACCGTAGAAAATGCCTAGCTTATGTTGTCCAAAAAAAAATCCCACCAGCGTCACTAAGCAATGATCTACTTAGTACAATATGCATTATGTTTTAGTATTTCGTTTTCTCCCCTCTTAGCTGGACAGCCATGGCTGTTTGTCTCAACGAGTGAAAACCAAGGCCTTCCAGCTGAAGAGACAAGGGTATGAAATGAAGCTTGACGTGGAGGCCAAGATCCGGGAAGAAGGAACAGGTTTGGATATCACAGGGGTGTGGGAGAAAAAAACAAGTATTTATTTTCTCAGGCAAATTATGAATTAAAAAGAAAGAAGTGGTATAAGAAGTTTAGGGTTATAAAAAATCATTTGTTTTTCTCCTTTTTCAGAAACGGAATTAACTGGAAGAGGGTCTAGTGAAATCACTAGGACCATAACCAAACTCTCATTTGTGAAAGTAGACTCGTACTTCAGACAAGGCATTCCCTTCTTTGGGCAGGTGGGTATTTTATATTTCACTAATCAAACCATGTACTGTCACCTAATTAGCACAATAGCTATGGTTTCTGCCAAAACCTTACTTAGTTGACTTTGTCAACTAAAGGTATAGGATATAATTGAAGGGGATTAATATAACCACAAGTGGGCCAGCAGGTGGTGTGGTAGTTAAGGGTGCTGGATTCCCACATGATAGACCACAGTTTGAGTCCCGGCCCTGGGGGCTTGCTTTCTCTCTTTCTCTCTATCATTCTCTGTCTCTCTCTGATCAAATTAAAAGGTAATAATAACAAATGGAATTAAATAAATAAAAATTTAAAAATAATAACCCAAAGTAAAAATTGACATAAAAATAGATCTATTCCTCAGTAAATTTGTATATGAAATTCATAAAATTATTCTAAACCCACATCACAATTGGTAGAATTTTGGCTTTTCGTTTCCTTTGGAACAGTATTATATTTTATTACTTAGTCTGCTTTTTATAGCTTACCAGGCAACATCAGATGTTTATGACATTTTCTGATTAGAATTTCAAAATTCATGGCATTAATCATATTATCCTTCAAACGCTAACTTTGCATAGAAATAAGTGAGAGGTGGTTTTAATTTTGATTTTAAAGTTTTAAAGATTCTACTATGCCTATTGTTTCTTTCATGTATATTAAACGTATTAATTTTACCTAATACCAAGTATATTTTTAAAAAACAATAAGCATGATCATAAGATATAGCTATTTAAGGGTCCCAACTTTTGAAATTAGAACTTTTCTTGCACATCTACCAAAAAAAAAAAAAATTTCCATTGTGATTTTTCTACTGTAAGCACATCCACAAATGTGTGCTTCTGACTCTCGAGTTCTGTAATGACAGTAGTAAGTATCTCAGTGTATAATTACTGTGCATCATGTTCTTAATGGAAATGTTACAGGATTTCTACCACAGAGGGTGTAAAAGACATAAAGACTCCCACACTCAACACTATGGAATATATTCTAGAGGGTTTGGTTACTATATGGCAGCAAAATGTATACAGAAACTTTGACCATTTCCCTAACATGAAAGTATAGCCCTTTTTCTTTTTGAAGAATTATTTATTTTATTTTATTTACTGTTATTATTTTTTAATTTGCTATGGGGCACATGGTCTCTCCAGAGAGAGACAGAGAGAGGGAAAGTGAGAAAGCAAGCCACCAGGTCTGGAACTCTAACCGTGGTCGGCCATGTGGGTGTCCAGCAAGCACCGTAACCACCATGCCACCTGCCGGCTCCAGTGCAGTTTCTTGTTAAATTTATCATAGATATACTGTACTTTTTCAATATTTTATTACTTTTTAATATTTTAACTATCCTATTCCCTTGCAGACAATGAATTAGAATGGTGCACCTGTCTTTGTGTTTGGCAGTCAGAGTTTCACTGGCACACTTAGGTTTTGTTAATCAGTTACCATCACTGATCAGGTCAGCCTGTTGTGCTTCCTGCTTCCAAACATAGCTTCTACTGGAAAGGAATCACCATCTTTGGGCGAGTAGGTGGTGTCGTGGTTAAGGTGCTGGACTCCCACATGGCCGACCACAGGTCGAGTTCTCAACCTGAATGCTTGCTCTCTACTAATTAATTCTTTTAAAAAGAAAAAGAAAAGCATCACCATCTTAACAATCCACACTGGACTGCTCAGCTGGTTAGTTCAGTACATGCAGTAGGTGCAACAGTAAAATGTGACATTCCGAGAGGCTACATTTATGTCCCAGCTTTGTGTCTGGAGCCTTTCTGAGTCCACGGGGCCTGTGTGTGCCCATGATCCAGAACTGGCAGAGGCTGAGGGTGGATTGTGGCATCAAGATCCTGTTTGAGATGCTATCTCTCTGTGTCTCTCCTCTTCTCTCTCTCTTGCTCACAGAAGAAATAAATACACTTAAAAGGTATTAGCTATAGGGTCACTAGGTGGCATGGTGATAAAGGTACCGGACTCTCATGTGACCGACCACAGTTCTCACCGGGTCCATGTGTGTGCATGCCCATGATTCAGAGAGCAGAATGGAGGAGAAGGGATTGCAGCATGACTGTTCCACTCCCCCCCACACACACCGGGGGGCAGGGGGGATGATTTCTCACTTTCTGTCTCTCTGTTTCTCTCTACCTTTCTTTGGGGAGCTCACCTGCCCTGCAACAAAAACTTTAAAAGAAAAAAAAAGTGTTTGCTGTAATTTGGATTTAGGGCCTTATTTATTTATTTTAATTTGCCAGAGAGAGTATGTGGGCTCAACAGAGAGAGAGACCACCAACTCTGTCATAATTGTGCCACAATCCCCATCCTCCATTTCTCCCACCTTTTGGGATTTGGTTTGGAGAACATACACACACACACACACACACACACACACACACACACACACACACGCCTGGGTGTATTCCCAGCTGCCAGGTTCAGGATGGAGCCATGTGGTCAACCGTTTGGTTTTTGCCATAGGGCAGGCATCAGCACACCCATGGTCAGCCATCTGGGGTCCGGCTCCTTTAACACTAGCTCATAGGCTGGCCAAAGGTCTTTTTAAAAACTGCATGCCTCTTCTCAACTTTTACATTTTCACATGAGAAGTATATCCTCAAATCTGCCTACCTCTAAATGTTTGGAAATCTAGGGGGGACAGCAGAGACCACGTACCAAACAATACAAAACAACTCGAGAAGCACACGAGACAGTGTGTGACCACTTTCTTGTCACCTACGATACTTCAGAACACTCATTTACAGGGGATTCGTGATCAGCCACAAAATAAGCATTTGAGGCCGAAATAAACTGGGCTGCTGCTTTAACAACTTCCACTACTCCATTACTCTTGTGCTCTGTGACTCTCTAAGAGTTCTGTATGATACACAGCATTTCTAAAATACCCAGAGTCCACCTTTCAGGTGATCCACGTCCTTACCCCTGTTGTTCTCTAGCCCTGTATACTGCTTTATTTTTTCCTTTAAAATTGACTGCTACTAAATAAGTGTCTATGATGTACGTATTTATTTAGCAGCCATCTTTTTTACTACACTGTAAACTCTGTGATGGAAGGAACTTTGTTTTGTTCACTATTATATCCTCAATGCCTGGAACCACATTTAACAGATAGGAAGTATTCAAAAAGTTTTTTTAAAAAGAATTATTTTATTCACTTTATTTATTTATTTATTTATTTATTTATTTTCATTTCACCAGAAAGGGACAGATGAAGAGAGAGAGGGAAAGTGAGAAAGTAAGCTGCAAGGTTCGGGATTTGAACCAGGGTTGGCCATGTGGGAGTCCAGCGCCTTTAACCACCATGCCACTTGCCAGCCCCTTAAAAGCATTATAGTAAAAAGCATATGTTTGACTCCTGCTCGTTATTACCCATATAACTGATCCACACCTTTTCGTCTTTAGGTGCGCCTAGTGGATGGGAAAAACATCCCTATGCCCAATAAAATCATCTTCATCAGAGCAAATGAAGCCAACTACCACTCCAATGGCACCACCGACGAGCACGGTCTGGTGCAGTTCTCCATCAACACCACCAACGTCATAGGAACCTCCCTTAACATTAGGGTGAGTCTGGAAAGAAGCGACCAGTCCCATGACGTAGCATCGAAAGCACTGTTACAATCTGAAACTGACGAAACCTCCAAATTGTGTTTAACCCTACAGGAGAAGGAAAAAAACTAGAAATTAGAAACCAATTTAATGTCAACTTTTTTTAAATCTATGAAAAAGAGATACCGTACTATTATGGTTAAAAAGTGTGGGCTCTGGGATCAGCAGCTGGCATAATGGTTACGTTGCTGGACTCCCACGTAGTTGACCGCAGTTCGAGTCTCTGACCCGGTGCCTTAAAACTCACGCTGGGCACATGTGCGTGCATGCCCAAAATCCAGAGAGAAGGGATTGCCACATGACCATCCCTGGGGGAGGTGATTTCTCGCTTTCTGTCTCTGTCTCTGTGTCTCCAGCAAGGGCACATGCCCGATAGCAAAAATCTCTAAAAAAAAAAGTGTGGGTTTTACTTTAGCAACATTAGTGAGAATGGAAAAGAAAAGAGTAGGAATATGGAAAATAGTATAGCAGTTTCTTAAAATTTTTTAAAGTAGAAATTGCCCTATGAGATAGCAATCTTACTTCTATTTATCCATAAGAATTGAAAGCTGGGTCTCAAAGAGCTATTTTCACACCCATGCTTCTAAACAGACCTCTTCATAATAGCAGAGAGATGGGAACTACCCAAATGCTTGTCAGCTGATAATGGATAAACACAGCGCAGGTACACACAGACAGCAAGACGTTAGTTAGCCTTAAAAACGGAAGTCCTATCACATGCTACCCAGGCTGCGCCTTGAGCCTCATGCTAAGTAAAATAAATCAGTCACAAAAGGACAAATACGCAAGGCTGGCAAGTAATGTGGTGGTTAAGGTGCTAGATTCCCACATGGCTGACCACGGTTCAAGTCCCGGATCTGGCAGCTTGCTTTCTCACTTTCCTTCTCTTTCTCTCTAGTGAATGCATGTGCACTGTAGCAAACAAAATTATAGTAATAATAAATAAAATAAATAATATTTTTTTAAAAAGGACAAATACTTTATGATTTCACATATAGGATGCTTATAAAGCAGTCAAAGTCATAAAACCAAAATAGAATAGTGGTTTTCAGGGATTGGGAAAAGGGAGAAACGGGGAGTTGCTGTGTGATGGGCATAGACTTTAGTTTTGCAACGTGAGAGTTCTGGAGCTCTGTGGCGTCAGATATACCCAACGCTCTCACATACAGACTGCCCAAAGGAGATGGTCATTTTACGTTGCTCTTTACGGCGGTCATTCTTCAAAAGATAGGTTCCAGCGTCAAAATCAGATCAACTGGTCAAAAATATGCATTCAACAGTATAGTAAGGTCAGATAGCCAAAACCTCTAGGATTCTTTTCCTTTTGTGTAAAATGAGTACAATATTGGGGCCAGCAGTTGGCATTATGGCTATGTCGCTGGACTCCCATGTAATCATCCACGGTTCGAGTCCTGGACCCGGTGGCTTAAACTCACGCTGGGCATGTGTGCATGTGTGCCCAAGATCCCAAGAGGAGAATGGAGGAGAGGGATTGCGGCGTGGCCATCCCACAAGCGATTTCTCCCTTTCGGTCTCTCTGTCTCTCTCTGTCTTTCTAGCGAGCACACACGTCCTGTAGCAAAAACCTCTCCAAGAAAAAAATGAGTACAATATTAATTTCTAACTCTTTGGGTGATTGTGAGGATTAAATGAAATATATCTGTTAAAGCATTTAGTAAGCCCCCTTTAACTGCTAAATACTTTTACTATAAAAAAAACCTACATTAATTCATTTTTTTAAAGTTGCGCTCACCAAACTGAGACAGAAAGAGAACGAGAAAGTGAGAAAGCAAGCCACCAGGTCTGGGACTTGAACCACAGTCAGCCATCTGGAAGACCGGCACCTAAACCACACCACCTGCTGAGGCCCAAAACCCATTTTAATATCAGAAACATTTTGTTTCAAAAATATACACTCCATAAATATTCTTATTTTATTCTTCTGTTTTCATTTTCTGCAGATGGCCTGCTTGAATCTGTATAACTTGTTTTAGCTAGCACACAGTCCTCTATTCAACAGGAGAAATGCAGCTATGTAGTCATAAATATATGAAAGCAGAGAAGACATTGCATAAACATAGTGACGGAAAAGCCTTCCCTCTAAAGAGTTTTCATGCTGTTATAAAGAAAAGATAATATATTTTACTGACTCAGCTTTAAGTATGGCATTTAAAAACATGTTCCGCCATTTTGGCTTTATTTTAAAAGTGAGAAACATGTCATAAAAGCCTCTACTACTAGTAACTCGAACTTGAGTATTTACTCATTTAATAAGAAATGTCTTGAATGCTTTTCCTGTGTAAGGCACTGTGCTAGTCCTGACCAAAAATATTTCTTTTCCAAATGCTCCCTCTTTTTGATGACCATCTCCGTGTTATCAGAACAGAGGCTCAGATATGGACAACGTGATTTGCCAGCACCAGGATTCACTCTTGCTCTCTGGAGCTGTGGGTGAGGGTAGGGGAAGCCTGGAAAGGGCTAAGAACAACTTCTACATGGAGAAAGGTGGAAATGCAGCCCAAATTGGACCTAAGAGGCATGCGATTCAGAGCTGCATGATGCATTCAAAATAATCAGTCTAAAGCTGTCAGAGGCACGGCGGTAAAGGCAGCTGCATCCCGCAGAGCAGGCAATGTGGTTTGAGTCCAGGACCAGCTGCTAGAGAAATATGCTGGACATGTGTTCACGGGTGCCCACAGTCCTACAAGGGGACATGGAGAACGGATTGCAGTGTGACAGTTCCCTGCAGAGGGTGCTTTCTCGCTCTGTCTGTCTGTCTCTCTCTTGCTCTCTCACTCTCTCACTTTCACTCTCTCCCTACCCCTCTCCAGCAAGCATACTTGCCCTCTAGCAAATTAAAAAAAAAAAAATTAGCCTAAAGTAGCCCAAGAAAGGGAGATTTCAGCTAATTCAACAGCTCAACTCTTTTTTTTTTTCTTTTTTTTTTTTGGAGAGTTTTGTTTTGTTTTGTTTTGTTTTGTTTTGTTTTGTTTTGTTTTGTTTTGTTTTTGCTATAGGGCATCTGTGCTCACTAGAAAAGAGACAGACAGAAAGTGAGAAATCACCCCCCGGGGGGATGGCCACACCACAATCCCTTCTCCTCCACTCTACTCTCAGGATCTTGGGCACACATGCACACGCGCCCAGCGGGTCCAGGACTCGAACTGCAGTCAACTACATGGGAGTTCAACAACATAGCCATTTTACCTGGTCCCAACAGCTCAACTCTTGAACCAATGCTTTTTGCAGAAAGTTTTCTCAGGCCTTCAAGGTTGCAATCGCTCATTCACTCAGAAGACCCATTTGAAATCCATCATTCAGGAGATGCTTCTTCCTGAAATACAGCTCTTCAGTTTCTGGAGATTCTTATACCCCTCAGTAAGGCTTCAAATCTCCAGCGTCTCTACCTGCATAGGTAAAGCAGCCCAAAAACATTGTTAACAAGCTAATTAGAGCAAAGCCTCCTTTTACGCTCTTCAAGAATATTATTATCAACCCAAGAGCCTCTGCAAGGGAATGGCACAAACTGTACCTGCATTTCATTCAGATAAACAAAATAAAGGATCAATCTCTCCCATTGTTTTTACTACAGAACGAAAGATTTCTAGTTATTAATTAATGCTGAACAGTAAACTTACACAGTTCTGTGAGACTACTGGTTCTTCATTATGTCTTCTACATACATGATCTGTAAAATAATATTACTTTCCTGGCTCTTTAGGTCCAGTACAAGGATCACAGTCCTTGCTACGGCTACCAGTGGCAGTCAGAAGCGCATGAAGAAGCGTACCACACGGCTAATCTTGTCTTCTCCCCAAGCAAGAGCTCTGTCCGCCTTGAGCCGCTGCCTGGTGAACTGCCCTGTGGCCAGACTCAGACAGTCCGGGCACATTATATTCTGAATGAACGGGTCCTGCATGAGCTAAAGGATCTCAATTTTTACTATCTGGTGAGAAGGGAGGCCACTGAGTTGACTCTTCTGGAGACAGGAGCTCTCCATGGGACAATTGACTAGGAGTCTTTTTAAACATCACTTCTTTGACTTCTTACCCATATTCTTCCTGAAAGGTTGACCTTTCTGGGGGCAAATTACTTCCAGTAAGGGCTCAATAAAATGAGCATATCATAGGAAGGCAAAACTTGAGGAAGAGCTCCATCAGGGAAATTCCATGTCTTTTTAATTCCTTCTTTTTTTTAGATAATGGCAAAGGGAGACATTGTCCGAACTGGGACTCATGGACTGCCGGTGAAACAGGAGAGCAGTGAGTATTTCTGTTGTCTCCACCTTTCTGCCTCATTCGTCCACCACAGAAATGTCAGGAATATTTGCAAATGAAGAGAATTTCCATTTAATCCAATAAAGAGGAAACTGACGGAGGAAATTCAATAACATTTCTTTTTTTCATCCTTTATCAAATATTTATTTTCTTTTTCTTCAGCATATTCTGTTTAGATTATTCACAAAGTTGATTTTGTTCTGTATAACCTACGCTTACCCTAAATTTCCAAATCATGAATGTTCACGGACCCTCTTCTCAAAACAGGAAACATTTCAGAATTGTTTTAGAGAATCAGGAGGAGGAAAGATGAAGTTTAGGGACGCTTTCTGTATATAATATGAAGTCTTGCCTGAGGCATTTATATCTTTATAAATGTCTTATTTCCTCTTCGAAGGTGGCTATGATTTGTAAAGTGTTAAATTGGTTACTTCCACCACTGAATTGAACTTTTTTTTGCATGGTATGGAATGATATCAATCTTTGAAGGTGTCTGCTAGTCTAAGGACTCTAAAGGTAACTTCCTAGAAAATTATCCGTGAACTGCTCTGTTGTTTCTGTTAGCAACATGGAGGCTCCGTAGTAAACTTAAGGAAGTTGAATGCAACCTTTAAAGGATCTATGTAGGCATCAAAACTCAGTTCTGTAAAGAGCCACAGTCGTCTCAAATTTTTTCTTATGGGGCTAGGATGTGGCATGGAGGTCAAGGTGGCTGGGCCCCACATGGCTGACTCCACTGCTTAAGAAAATAATAGAATATTTGTTTTATCGAAGGCTAGAGAAGAGATAAGTATAAAAACAACGTGTTACACTCTTCCTATTACATTGCATAACTTCAGGTTCTATTTCTCTCTTTTGGTGTGAGATCTAGATTGAATGGGTGAAGTGGGTGTCCCCACTATCTTAGCTCTTAGATAGCGTGAGAACATTAAATAGGCACACTACAACTTAAAATTGATTTAAAACTCAATATATGATTTACGGGCAGTGAGAGGGCTTTGGTAAAGTTTTGTCTAAAGCTAGAGTGCTTAGAGGTCGTCGCAGATTTATTACACTTTCTGCTTATTAAGTCTATCATGTCTATTAACAGCAATAGTCATTTAACAGACCAGGCTCCCAAAGTGCCACACAATAATTGCATTGTGCCTGGGCAGAGGTCCCACCCGTGACTGTCCCCTCTCACTCTCCCTGCTCTAGTGGAAGGCAGCTTCTCCTTGTCGATCCCCGTGAAGTCAGACATCGCCCCTGTTGCTCGATTGCTCATCTATGCCATTTTACCCAATGGAGACGTGATCGGGGATTCTGCAAAATACGAGGTTGAAAATTGTCTGGACCACAAGGTGGGTGCTTTCACTTTATGATATAAAACTTTCAACATCTGTAAGTATTTAGTATTTTTGTCACCAGTTGTTTTACACACAAATGGGGGGCCAAAGGGATACGATGAAGTCCCTGGTGACCTTCAGCAGGGTAATGGCGGAATCGCACTAAGGCGCCATGTCACCTGACTCCCAGTGCAAAATTCCCATGTTGTTCCTCACCGTGTGACCCACTACAGAGTACCTCATTCCTTTTCCTGTGATGAAATGTTGGAGAACCCATAAGCCATAAGTTTTTAAGACTACTAAACAGCCAAAATCCCAAACCGAGAGCAGCTGGACCCATTTACATTCCACACATTTAATAAGCACCTCACCGTGTATCAAAGATAAGGAAAAAATGGCACCTCAAGTTTAAACATCTGTAACAATAATTAGAAATCATGATAATGGCTCAGCTGATCCTTGAGAATTGATGTGAAGTGGAAGGAGACAAAACGGCTCAGACTGACATCATGCCAGCCACTACGAAGTGACAGTGGCTACGCATCGAATGTGTGGGACCGTCAGAAAATGCAAGCACGTGCATGGTTAAGTCAGAAAGCTTGCTTGTCTGACCCTCTTCTCCAATTCCACAGGTGGAGCTGAGCTTCGACCCAGCACAAAGCCTCCCAGCCTCACATGCCCAACTGCGAGTTGTAGCTTCTCCTCGCTCCCTCTGCGCCCTCCGTGCTGTGGACCAAAGCGTGCTGCTCCTGAGACCTGAGGCCGAGCTCTCTGCAACCTCAGTGAGTTTCCCTGTCAGCTCTGGGGATCTGGCACGTGTGTGTGCGTGCCCAAGATCCCAAGAGGAGAATGGAGGAGAAGGGATTGCTGCATGGCCATCCCTCCAGGGGGTGATTTCTTGTTCTCTCTTTCTCTCTCTCTCTCTCTCTCTCTCTCTCTCTCTGTCTCTCTCTCTCTGCTGAGTGGACATACCCTATAGCAAAAATCTCTCCAAAAAAATTAAAGTATGTTTATTTGGGTGCAAAAAAAGTTCATGCACAGTTTTTCATAATATGCATGTACCTTGATAGATAAGATGGACCATCCTGTTTAATTTGTTAATAACAAAGCAGAAACTTTCAGATATTTAGCAGTAGACCTGGACTAGAACACAGTTTCCTCTCAGGCCTTGATTAGTCTTTTACTAATGAAGTACTTTGCTCTTAGTAGCATGAGTCATTCATTTAATGAACGTTAAGGTTTTGGTTGGTTGGTTGTTTTATTCCCAGAGGGTAAATGCATGAGAGAGAGAGTAAGCAGCCCCTGCAGATCATGGTCACTCTTTAATCTTAATCCTTTTTCTTCCATTCTTCCTTCCCATCAGGATTTGGGGTACTCATACCCACATACCGAACATGTTTTTCATTCTGGTGGAGTGGGAATTCGAACTTCAACTGGCCATGTGGGATTCAGCTTCCTTAACCACTCTGTATGGGGCCAGCCAGTCTCCATTTAACTCACATTTATTTAATGCCTATTGTGTTCTAAGACTGTGCTAAGTCCTGGGGATCTAGAAGGAAATCCCTGGAGAGACAAAAGTCGGTGTCTCATGACCATATTTATAGATGACACAGGAAACAAGTATGTAATGTGCTCTGGAGAAAAATGAAGCCGAAGAGGGAAACAGCCACCTCTGGGGGCTGACAGGTGGTGTGGTGGTTAAGAGTGCTGGACTACCACATGGTTGACCGCGGTTCAAGTCCCAGACCTGGTGGCTTGCTTTTTCTCTCTCTCTCTCTCTCACTCTCTCCCTCTGTCCCTTTCTGGTCAAAATTAAAATAAATAAATAAATAAATAAATAAATAAAGTTAAATAATTCTTTTAAAAAAACACCTCTAAGACAGTGTCTTAATTTCATCACACCACTCACTTTACTAATCTATGCTTCTAAGTCAATCTTAAGCTCTCTTAATATAATACACTGCAACAATCAACATCACTTTATGTTAGTCTTACTCCTCCCCTACAAGTGGATTTGAAAGTTTAATTTCTAGTATCTACACTTTTTGTAGTGTGTGAATACCTGGAGCATTTCATCTCATCAGTAGTGTCTAAGAAAGTGCTGTCGTCTGTTGAAGGCCTGTACTGACAAGCCTGTTTGGGACGTGTGTCCGTTTACTTCCTTATACACAAAGTCAGGTGTAAGTCCGTGGCTAACCACAAGGGTCGCTCTCTCATCACAAACCTTTAACACGGCCTCAAACATACCGGAAATCAGTTTCTCAGTTCACACGGCATTATTGCATTGCGGAATTCGGTCTAGTGTTTGCCTCCAACCTGCGTAACATAGGATTATGACCTCGAGTACTCAGGAGATAATAATTGAGGTTTGTTCCCTAAAATTGTTAAGCATCTTCAAAATGCAAACACCGTTTAGAGAAAATGATTCGTACTCTGTCGATAAATCATCAAAGCGAGGGCACTCAAAGACTGACGATGGTTATTCTTCACACTCAGATAAAAGGAAATCACAGAGGAGTTTGCCCTCTCGTCCTTTGCATTTGCCCAGGTGTATAACTTGCTGCCAGTGAAAGACCTGACGGGCTTCCCTGAGAGTCTGACTCAGCAGGACGAAGAGAGCGGAGACTGTGTCCATCACCACAACGTCTACATTAATGGAATCACCTACTCCCCAGTATCCAATACGAACGAAAAAGATATGTACGGCTTCCTAGAGGTAAGTGCCTTGCATTGCAAATAGTCAGCAGTTCTCATGGTAAACTATGCTATCTGAAAAGAAATTATTTCTTTTAATGCCTTTATGTCATGGTGGAGGGAAGTGGGACATAGGCCAAGTGACTTCCCAAGGTCACTAAATAGTAGCAGAGTAGCTAAAAGCAATCTAACCTGACTAGAATGTTTTGGACTATTAATCAAGTTCTTTTGTTGTTGTTGAAATGTATTGCTTTCTGATATTTGCAGGTATCATCCATATAAAGTAATTACCATTGAGATAAGAAATGAAATTACCACTATAAGTATAGTAGTATCCATCCTACAGACGTGGGCATTACCTGTTTGCTATTAAGTGAATTAGTTTTCTAAATTCAATTAAAAAGTATGCGCTTAAATATTTACAATATATATGTACTGATCAGGTGATCATTTCCTTACAGGACATGGGTTTAAAGGTATTCACAAACTCCAAGATCCGTAAACCCCAAATATGTTCAGAGCCTCAAATGTATGAAATGCAGATAGCTGAAAGAACATCAGACTATACAGGTAAAAAATGTTAATAAAAGTTTATTGTCTGATATATTGAACAACATAATTGATTATTTTAAGGAAAATAAAATGTGAAAAACTAACCAAAAAAGACGTGGTTTAGTTATAGATTAGATATATTCGGAGGTTTGCTCAAGATAGCATAGCTGCACAACCCCGAATCTTCGGATGATGTCAAGTCACCCATGTATGCGAGAGAGAGAATACAAGGCAGATTGTGAAAAGAACTGTAAGAGAGGTTGTGGAATCTGAAAGTCATTTATGAAGAATCTGCTTCTGCTAAATGGAGATATGTGGGTTAAAAAGGAAGAGAGGGGTCAACGGGTGGTGTGGTGGTAAAGGCACTGGGTCCCATATTGCCAACTCCAGGGCTCACGTCCCAGAAAGACTTGAAACTCAAGTCTCTGGTGGCTTGAAAATCACACCAGGAGTGTGTGCATGTGCTCCCAAAATCACAAGGGAAGGATGGAGGAAAGGGCATTGTCACATGGCCATCTCCCTTTGAAGGTGATTTCTCACTTTCCCTCATTCTGTTTCTCTCCAGCAAGTGCATGTGCCCTACAGCAGAAAGTCTTAAGAAAATGAAGAAAGAAAGAAAGAAAGAAGAAAGAAAGAAAGAAAGAAACTCTCTCATCACAAACCTTTAACACGGCCTCAAACATACCGGAAATCAGTTTCTCAGTTCACACGGCATTATTGCATTGCGGAATTCGGTCTAGTGTTTGCCTCCAACCTGCGTAACATAGGATTATGACCTCGAGTACTCAGGAGATAATAATTGAGGTTTGTTCCCTAAAATTGTTAAGCATCTTCAAAATGCAAACACCGTTTAGAGAAAATGATTAGTACTCTGTCGATAAATCATCAAAGCGAGGGCACTCAAAGACTGACGATGGTTATTCTTCACACTCAGATAAAAGGAAATCACAGAGGAGTTTGCCCTCTCGTCCTTTGCATTTGCCCAGGTGTATAACTTGCTGCCAGTGAAAGACCTGACGGGCTTCCCTGAGAGTCTGACTCAGCAGGACGAAGAGAGCGGAGACTGTGTCCATCACCACAACGTCTACATTAATGGAATCACCTACTCCCCAGTATCCAATACGAACGAAAAAGATATGTACGGCTTCCTAGAGGTAAGTGCCTTGCATTGCAAATAGTCAGCAGTTCTCATGGTAAACTATGCTATCTGAAAAGAAATTATTTCTTTTAATGCCTTTATGTCATGGTGGAGGGAAGTGGGACATAGGCCAAGTGACTTCCCAAGGTCACTAAATAGTAGCAGAGTAGCTAAAAGCAATCTAACCTGACTAGAATGTTTTGGACTATTAATCAAGTTCTTTTGTTGTTGTTGAAATGTATTGCTTTCTGATATTTGCAGGTATCATCCATATAAAGTAATTACCATTGAGATAAGAAATGAAATTACCACTATAAGTATAGTAGTATCCATCCTACAGACGTGGGCATTACCTGTTTGCTATTAAGTGAATTAGTTTTCTAAATTCAATTAAAAAGTATGCGCTTAAATATTTACAATATATATGTACTGATCAGGTGATCATTTCCTTACAGGACATGGGTTTAAAGGTATTCACAAACTCCAAGATCCGTAAACCCCAAATATGTTCAGAGCCTCAAATGTATGAAATGCAGATAGCTGAAAGAACATCAGACTATACAGGTAAAAAATGTTAATAAAAGTTTATTGTCTGATATATTGAACAACATAATTGATTATTTTAAGGAAAATAAAATGTGAAAAACTAACCAAAAAAGACGTGGTTTAGTTATAGATTAGATATATTCGGAGGTTTGCTCAAGATAGCATAGCTGCACAACCCCGAATCTTCGGATGATGTCAAGTCACCCATGTATGCGAGAGAGAGAATACAAGGCAGATTGTGAAAAGAACTGTAAGAGAGGTTGTGGAATCTGAAAGTCATTTATGAAGAATCTGCTTCTGCTAAATGGAGATATGTGGGTTAAAAAGGAAGAGAGGGGTCAACGGGTGGTGTGGTGGTAAAGGCACTGGGTCCCATATTGCCAACTCCAGGGCTCACGTCCCAGAAAGACTTGAAACTCAAGTCTCTGGTGGCTTGAAAATCACACCAGGAGTGTGTGCATGTGCTCCCAAAATCACAAGGGGAGGATGGAGGAAAGGGCATTGTCACATGGCCATCTCCCTTTGAAGGTGATTTCTCACTTTCCCTCATTCTGTTTCTCTCCAGCAAGTGCATGTGCCCTACAGCAGAAAGTCTTAAGAAAATGAAGAAAGAAAGAAAGAAAGAAAGAAAGAAAGAAAGAGAGAGAAAGGAAGGAAGGAAGGAAGGAAGGAAGGAAGGAAGGAAGGAAGGAAGGAAGGAAGGAAGGGGGGAGGGAGGGAAGAAAGGGGAAAAAAAAAAGGAACAGAAAGTTTCCAGGCATAGGATCAGTGTAAACAGAAATAGAAATATTCACAAAACAGGACTACATTCTCATCAGTGAAATAAAAAAGTTCTTTAAATTCCTCAAAACATTGCCAATATTCTTTTTTTTTTTTTTTTTTCTGGGGGGGTTTTGGCTATAGGGCACGTGTGCTCACCAGACAGACAGAGAGAGACATAGAGACAGAAAGCGAGAAATCACCCCCCAGGGGGAATGGTCACGCTGCAATCCCTTCTCCTCCATTCTCCTCTCGGGGTCTTGGGCACACACGCATATGCGCCCGGCGTGAGTTTTAAGCCACCGAGTCCGGGACATGAACCGCGGTCGACTACGTGGGAGTCCAGCAACATAGCCATTACGCTAACTGCTGGTCCCCCCCAATATTCATTTTGAAACCACACATTTATCAGTAATGTGAGCTCCATCTTTGATAGGAATCCAACATTTATTTATAGACTCATATTACCAAATCAGGATTGAAAAAATTGAGTACAGATGAAAGAGTATCAGAAATCAAGGATATCTGGGGCTGGCAGGTGGCTTGGTGGTTAAGGCACTGGACTCTCACGTTGCAAACTGCTGTTCAAGTCCTGGACCTGGTGGCTTACTTTCTCACTTGTCTTCTTTCTGTCTCTCTCTGGTCAAATTTCGAAATAATAATAAATTAAATTAAATAATCCTTTTCAAAAAAAGAAATCAAGAGTATCCAAAATCAAGCATTCTGTGAGAATCAATTGACTGTGTGGAATTTACTATAAAGATTATTGTATATGTTTATCATTTATAGATTATATTCTATGATCCTTTATCAGTAGGATATATATAAACTTCTTGTGCACAAGTTCGTATATGTACAGTTGTTTTGCCAGAGAACTGGTTGTTAGATATTTACCAGCACACTACCAGAGGTGAATGGGACAAACAACCTCACTCTGACCTCTGACACAGTATGGAAAACATCCTTTCATTTTTGACTCCTGTCAATTGTTTCTCAAAACCACCACCACAGCGTCACAATTTTTCTTTGTTCCCAGAGGAACACACCAATGGAAACGTGGACTTCCGCCCTTCTTCCCACCCCTGTCATAGCAACCTCCACTTAGCACCGGGGGCAGTAGCCACACAAGACTCCCCGGAGTCCAGGGATCTGTAATCTGCCAAGGTCTCTATAATCCTGCTTGTGATTCTCTTCTCCCCCCACCCCTGTTTATTCTAACGCTTTAAAATTCAGCTTAACAAAGTTTTCCCCAACTACCCAGGTGTCCTCTCCTGGTTCCTCCCTATCCCATCTTCCTACCTATTCATTTCATAAGGATCACTTACTACAATTCCTCATCAACTTCATCTTCTTATTTATTGTCCCTCACTTCTTTCTCACCCCCATAGACTCAGCTCCATTGAAAAGAGGCCAGGAACGATCGGGTTTTCGTCACGCTTCAGAGCCTCCCACAGAGATTGTAAGGAAGTACTTCCCTGAGACGTGGATCTGGGACGTGGTAACAGCAGAGTAAGTAACTTTCAATGGAGAGCTCTCCTAATTTGCAATTCTTACTCATTTTTTTTATTCTTATTGCATATAGTTAAGATGTACATGATGTTATTTTTTAATAAGCACACTTTTTTAATTATTTTATTTTATTTTTATTTATTCTTCTTCTTCAATTTGACCAGAGAGAGTCAGAGAGAGAGTGAAAAAGCAAGTCACCAGGTCCTGGACTTGAACCACAGTGGCCCATGTGGGAGTCCAGCACCTTAACTACCACACCACCTGCCAGCCCCATACGTGATATTTTGATATACATATATATGATAAAGTGATTACTATAACCAAAAAAATTAACATATATAACCTTGATTGTTGCACCTCATGTGTGTGTGTGTGTGCGTGTGTGTGTGGTAAGAATACACGAAATCTATTGTCTTAGTACATTTTCAGTGTACTATAAAATGTATTAACTGTGGTCTTCATGTTGTACTTTAGACTTATTAGAACATTACGTCCTTATCCGAAATAAGTACGTAACAGCAATCTTGTAACCCATGCCCTGTATCTCCCATCCTCCCCCTGCCCTCCACTCCTGGTAAATATCAGTTCTATTTTTTGTTTCTATGTACACAGTCTTTTTTAGATTTCCTCATAAATGGGGACCATGTAGCATTTTTTTTGTCTGCCTATTTCACTTGGCATAATGTCCTCCAGCTTCATCCATGTTGTCACACATGACGGGATCTCCTTCCTTTTGAGGCTGAATAATATTCTTTTACCCAAACACACAGATGCATGCATAGACACATCCACGCAGGCTCACACACATACTTACACACATTCACACCCACACACATCACATTTCTTTATCCATTCATCCATCAACGGACACAGGTTTTCCATACCCCAGACCTTGACCACCATGAATGATGCCGCGATGAACGTAGGCGTGCACGTATTGCTACAATGTGCTGATTTAATTTCCTTTGTGTGTATAGGCAGAAGAATGAGTTCTGGGTCACATGGTAGTTCCGTTTTAATTTTTCAAGAAATGTTCCTGTGTTTTCTATCCTAGCTGTACCCATTTACATTCCAGTCAACACTACACAAGGGTTTCTTTCTTCTTCCCTTAACTAACACTTATCTCTTGTCATCTTTTTTTTAAAATAGTCATTCTAACAAGTGTAAAGTGATATTTCATTGTGATTTTAATTTGCATTTCCCTGATGCAGTGAATGTGTCTGTTGGCCATTCTTACACCATCTTTGGAAAAATGTCTATCCAATTCTTTGCCCATTCTTTGCAGATTATTTGCTTTTTGCTATTAAGTTGTGAGTTCCTTATATAGTTTGGTTATTAACCCTATCAGATATATCGTTCTGAGGCCCGAATATGTAGGCCTCTTCATCTTGTTCACTGTTTCCTTCGTTGTGAAGAACTTTTCAGTGTGATGCCATCCTATTTTCCTATTCTTGGTTCATTAGCTGTGTTTCTAGGGTCGTAATCAAAGCAATTATTGTTCAGATAAAAGTCAAGAAGCTCACTTTCTATCTCTCTCTCAAGCTCATGTGCCCTATAGAAAATTTAAAAATAGGGACCAGCATTTAGCTTAATGGCTATGTCGCTGGACTCCCACATAATCGACAGCGGTTCGAGGCCCAGACCCGGCGGCTTAAACTCAGGCCGGGTGCATGTGAGTGCATGCCCAAGATCCCGAGAGGAGAATGGAGGAGAAGGGATTGCAGGTGGCCATCCCCCCTGGGGGGTGATTTCTCGCTTTCTGTCTCTATGTCTCTCTCTGTCTGGCGAGCGCACGCGCCCTACAGTGAAAATCTCTCCAAAATATACAACCTTTGGGCCAGCCCGTGGCCTGGAAGTTGAGGCAGCTTGATCCCAGTGGCTTACCACAACGGTCAAGTTCTGGGCTGGGCAGCTTGGAACACATGCCAGGCACATGAGTATGCGTGTCCCAAATTCTAAAATAGGGTAGAAGTGGAGGAGAAGTGATCCAGGCATGACCATGCCCCGTGAGAGAGGGTACTTCCTCACCCATCCCTTCTGACCCATCTCTCTCTGGTGAGTTCACGCACCCTCTGGCAAATTAAAATAATAATAATAACAATACAAGCCTAATCAGTTCCCAGAGCTACGTGACTTACAAGCTAGTCCCTTGGGTGGGGACAGTCAAAGTCAGGGCTCTTGATACATGGACAAAATACTCCCAGAGAGAACTTAGCTTGGCTTTATCACTAGAGCAAGCCAGTGTGGCAGGTGGAGAGGAGCAGGAATTCCCTATATCCCCTTTTCATTTCCAGAAGATCCATTTTTTATCTGCCCCTCTGCTTCCAGCTGCAGGCTAGCTAATCCTACTCCTTAGTTGGCCACCGGAAAAGTATGTACACAAACTCCTTCCAGGGAGAAACTACAAGCTGGCAATTTTTTGCCCGGGAATAGTCACAGGCAATGATCACATGCCTGTTTAAAACCTCCTCTTGGTGTAATGGCTATGTCGCTGGACTCCCATGTAGTCGACCACGGTTCAAGTCCCAGACCCAGTGGCTTAAACTCACACTGGGCGTGTGTGTGTACTCAAGATCCCGAGAGGAGAATGGAGGAGAAGGAATTGTGGCAGAGCCATCCACCCTGGAGGGTGATTTCTTGCTTTCTGTCTCTCTTGTCTCTGTCTTTCTGGCGAGTGCACGCGCCCTATAACAAAACCTCTTAAAAAAAAAAAAAAACAGAAAAACCTCTTCTTAGTTCTCTGTGGTCAAGGGAGACTTATGAATGCAGAGCCCCTCCTACTCTCAGAGCTGGATGATTTAGGAGCAAATCGTCACTGCTGTTGGGTTATCAGAAAAGTCGCAATGCATTTTGCATACTACAACATAGGGGCCACCAGGTGGCACGCTGGTTAAAGTGTTGGACTCCTCCACATGGTCAATCGCAGTTCAAGTCCCAGACAGCTTAAAGCCCCCGCTGGTCACATGTGCATACATGCTGAAGATCCCGAGAGGAGAGTGGAAGAGAAGGGATTGCAGTATGGCCAACCCCACAGGGTGTGGTCTCTCATTTTCTGTTTCTTTTTCTCTGTCTCTCAGGCAAGCACACATGCCCTACAGCAAAAATCTCTTAAAAATAGAAAAAATACATTGTGACTTTTACAATCAACCAATCTATAAGTTGGGATGCTCAAGATGTAGATATGTTTTTTCCAGGGAGACACTGGACCTGGTTGTATCCCCGGAGTGAGCCAGGGGAAGAAGGCACAGGAAGGTCCACACCCCTTGACAGGCTCTTGAAGTGTATTGTTTACCTTTCTCTTCTGCCTTAGATAAAAGCTAATTAAAATCCCAGTTCTCAGGCAACAACTATAAAGTGTGTAGACAAACCTCTTACAGGGAAAAAGTAGGGACCCATTAGCTAATTTTTCAATATCCAAGTACTTCCTTTAAGCACATTACTATTTGTAGGAGAGGTTTAACATGACTTCTGTTGTGAACTCTTACGGATCTAATTGCAGCAGAGGTAAAAATTTTGCACGAATTTCATTCTAAGAGGTCCAGAAAATGGGAGTAAAGACTAAGTAGAAACAAACAACTGTAAGAGGCTTTTGATTGGTCCATAATCTTGGGTTAGTGACAGAGAATCAAGCCAAATATACTTAGTACTAATAGTAGAATTAAACATTGTGAAACAGTAGTTTAGAGACAAGAACTTAAAAAGCAATCTCAAATTACATATTAAATTTATAATTCTACTGTCTGTAAAAGATTATACCATAACTATTTGTCTCTAGGAGATTCTTACGTAGACTGGAATTGAATTAGAAGAAAAGAGCTTGTATTTTCCCATCTTAAGCCTTGATTATATTCTCCGTTATTTGTATTTTTATTGAGCACATTCAACTCATGACAGTAGAATGAATTGTAGGGGGCTCTCTTTCTAGAAAGAATTAATTTAACTGCTTACTGATTTTTCTTCATGTTGCCGTCATCCCTAGCTCCACAGGTGTGGCTGAGGTAGGAGTAACAGTCCCTGACACCATCACCGAGTGGAAGGCAGCGGCCTTCTGCCTGTCTGAAGACACTGGACTTGGGCTCTCTCCTCCTGCCTCTCTCCGAGCCTTCCAGCCCTTCTTTGTGGAGCTCACCATGCCCTACTCTGTGATCCGCGGGGAGGCCTTCACACTCAAGGCCACTGTGTTAAACTATCTTCCCAAATGCATCCGGGTAAGGATCTCTCTTTCCCAAATTGAACAAAGGGCTATGGTTAGGTAAATTAAGAATTGCATTCCTAGGAATGTTGATGAACTCCTGTGTACAAGATTGACTCATTAAAAGAAAAATACTATCAGAGAGAGATTCATGTGTTAGTTAAGGTATAATTACTGATATCTTCATATATTAAATTGCAACTTAAAACAAGTCTCTGGCCCTTATCTTATCATAATCCTTAAAAGTTAGGTAGTTCGTTGGGACCAGCAGATGGCATAATGGTTACATCAGTGGATTCCCACATGGCCAACTGCAGTTCGAGTCCCAGACCCAGCGGCTTGAAACGTACGCTGGGCATGTGTGAGTGCATGCCCAAAATCCCAAGAGGAGAAGGGAGGAGAAGGGATTGCAGTGCGGCTATCCCCCATCAGGGTGATTTCTCGCTTTCTGTCTCTCTGTCTCCATTTCTCCAGCAAATATACATCCCATATAGCAAAGTCTCTCTCGAAAAAAAAAAAAATGTTAGGTAGTTCATGTAGTATGAGAATTTTTGACATGGACAACAAAAACCAGTACTTTTCATTCTCATGGCTTAGATTCTCCAAGGTGTCAATTTCTACATTCCTATATATTTAACTTTTCATAGCTCATTCGTTTTATTAAACCTTACTTTTATAAGCTTTTTATTTCTTACTCCTAAAAAATCCAAAAATTCTGTGTACTCTGCTATGCAGTCAAAGAAGTGGCCAAAGTTCTAGGCCAATGTAGAGCATGCCAGGCGACCTTTCTTCTTCATTTATGTCATCTTTGAAATTAGGCAACCTGGGATCTAACCAATCCCTCAATAGGTTTTATTTCAAAATCAGTTTCCCTCTGGTCTCCACCTCTAACCGCTTTGTCTCACGTGTGGTTTCAGGTCAGTGTGACGCTGGAAGCCTCTCCCATGTTCTTAGCTGTTCCAGTGGAGAAGGAACAAGAATCTTACTGCGTCTGTGGAAGTGGACGGCAAACGGTGTCCTGGGCAGTAACCCCCAAGTCATTAGGTGAGGCCATTCTCTACCCAAGAGCTATATGTATCAGTGGGAACCTTACATCCCTTCCTACTTCCCTCAGAGAAAGACCTCCGAATGCTGGCTTTTTGTTAAGTTTCATTCTAGCGTATTTCCACTTCGCCTTCATTTCCCCTTGGAGTCTCAGTATCAGTAGCCTTTTGTTGCTCCCATTTCTGCTTCTGTGTTTTCATAAAACAAAGGTTTACAGAGCATAGAACATTTATAAATCTTAAATTTAGAGGGGTGTGGAAAGATGGCGCTCATCTCTATTGGCCCTTTTTTTTCAGGAAATGTGAATTTTACTGTGAGCGCAGAGGCCCTGGAGTCTCAGGAGCTGTGTGGGACTGAGGTGGCCACGGTTCCTGAATATGGAAAGAAAGACACGATCATCAAGCCTCTGTTGGTGGAAGTAAGCAAGCTCTCCATTGGATAGGTCACACAGAGTCACGAAACACAATGATGAATCTATTCATAGTTGAGAACCCCAACTTTTAGATAAGAAAGGTTCAATAAAATGCGGTTCATAAGTATACATAATATTTATGGATAACATTGGGTCATCAGAAAAGTTATGACATAGCCTTTTGTTGCTCCCATTTCTGCTTCTGTGTTTTCATAAAACAAAGGTTTACAGAGCATAGAACATTTATAAATCTTAAATTTAGAGGGGTGTGGAAAGATGGCGCTCATCTCTATTGGCCCTTTTTTTTCAGGAAATGTGAATTTTACTGTGAGCGCAGAGGCCCTGGAGTCTCAGGAGCTGTGTGGGACTGAGGTGGCCACGGTTCCTGAATATGGAAAGAAAGACACGATCATCAAGCCTCTGTTGGTGGAAGTAAGCAAGCTCTCCATTGGATAGGTCACACAGAGTCACGAAACACAATGATGAATCTATTCATAGTTGAGAACCCCAACTTTTAGATAAGAAAGGTTCAATAAAATGCGGTTCATAAGTATACATAATATTTATGGATAACATTGGGTCATCAGAAAAGTTATGACATATTTTTTCTGTTTTTCCATGCAAAAATGTATCATGACTCTTCCAATGACCCAATATTTATGGATACTGTAACAGTAGGAATAATATACGGATGGCTTAGACTATTCTGCTTCATGTGTCTAGCTGCCTATCAATCCTCTCTATCTCTTCTTTGATTCTTTTCTTAGTTTTCCCCTTACTTTCTTACTGATCAATCTGTCCCCATATTGCCTACTGTAATATAGTTCGAATTCTTCTCTCCATTAGCCAGTAATCTGTGGTGCTCCTGTCAGTACACACGACCTGAAAGTCAGTCTGTCCTCATCTCTAACTTTTTTTTCTTCCACCTAAAGCCTGAAGGACTGGAGAAGGAAGTAACATTCAACTCCCTGCTTTGTCCATCAGGTAAGAGTAAACCATCAGAATTAAGACCAAAAAAAAAAAAAAAACTGGGCCAACTCTATAGCACAGAGGTTAAGCCTGTACCTGAGAAGCTGGATCCCATATAGCCAATTGTGGTTTGAATCCTAGCTCGGGTTGGTTGAAAAACATACATGCATACCCAAAATCCTAATGGGATGGGGAAATGGGGGAAAAAGGGTTGTGGCATGGCGGCACCCAATTGGGAAGTTGCCTTTCATATACTTATGTGTGTCTGTGGCAGTTAAGAAAAAAAAATTAAATCTACAGTTCATATAATATTTTAAGTTCAAAGAATTTTATGGACTATTCCTATGCTTGCCTTATAAAGTAATTAAGACTTGAAGTAGCATCTATGCACTTGACAAATAGAAATATTGTTTCTTAAAGAAGCCGAGTAATTTTATCAGAAGAATATCTCCAGGCCATGTATTCTGAGTCTTTATCTCTTGTACAGCCTTACAAACGCCAAAATGTCTTTCTATCCAATGTGTCATGTGGGCATAGGCAGAAAGTGAGTAAAATCAAAATCATTATGTTCAAAGGGAATATTTCCTTGGATAATTAGTAGCATAACCTACGGACAGCTGAATTCAGGCCATTCCCATGCTGAGCTTTTGGGTTGTTTTTGTATTGCTTGTTTGCCTGGCACATAAAAGTGTTTTTTTAAAAATCGTTTTAGAACCATTTATTTGATTTTATTTATTATTATTATTCAATCTGACCACAGAGAGACAGAAGGAGAGAGGGAGAGTGAGAACAAGTCTCCAGGTCTGGGATTCAAACTGCAGTCGACCATGTGGGAGTCCAGCACCCTGAACACCACACCACCTGCCAGCCCCCATAAAAGTGCTTAAAAACATTTTTTCTTGTTTTTCTTACATTTAATTACTGTACGCCTTTACAGCATACAGAATGAACTTTCCCATCCAGAATACATTGTATATTACCCAGTCAAGATATGACTATAGGGGGAACCAGCAGTTAGCTTAATGGCTCTGTCACTGGACTCCCATGTAGTCGACCACAGTTTGCATCCCGGACCCGGTGGCTTAAAACTCACACCAGGCGCGTGTGCGTGCGTGCCCAAGATCCCGAGAGGAGAATGGAGGAGAAGGGATTGCGGCATGACCATCCCCCCTGGGGGGTGATTTCTCGCTTTCTGTCTCTATGTCTCTGTCTGGCGAGCGCACGCGCCCTATAACGAAAAACCTCTCAAAAAAAAAAAGATATGACTATAGGCATTAGCATCAACAGATAATTTTCCATTTTTGTGTACATTAAACATTTTACTTTTTTCCCCCTTGATTTCCTCCCTCCGACCCCTGCATTGACCACCTTCCTCCCACCCTGTCTCTAGTATCCACAGTTACTGTCAATGCTTTTATATCTCCCCATGTTTCAGTTTCTGTCGTAGGGTACAGACATTCGGTATATATTAAGTGGGACATACAATGTCTCTCTTTTCTAGTCTGGCTCGTTTCATTTAGCATTAAATCTTCTATATTCATCCACTTTCTATCAAATCCCAGGGTCTCATTGTTTTTATGGCTGAGTAGTATTCCATAGGGTATATGTGCCACACTTTTTCAATCCATTCATCTATTCTTGAACATTTGGTTTGATCCATGTCTTAGCAGTTGTGCATAATGCCACAATAAACATGGATGTGCACATGTTTTCTGACTGAGCATATTCCTATCCTTTGGGTAGATACCCAGGAATGGAGTTGCTGGACTGTATAATAGTTCTACTTATAGGTTTTTAAGGAAACTCCATATTGTTCTCTACAGTGGCTATACTAATTTACATTCCCACCAACACTGTAGGAAAGTTCCTTTTTCACTGCAGCACCATGACCACCAGTTATCATTATTTATTTTTTTAATATTAGCCATTCTGACAGAGTTTAAGTGGTATCTCATTGTGATTTTAATTTGCATCCCTTATGATAAGGGACAGTGCACATTTTCTCATATGCTTTTTGGCTGTTCATATGAATTCCTTGGAGGATTATCTGTTTAGCTCATTGGCCCTTCTTTTAATTGGATTGATTTTTTTTTTTTTTTGGTAGGTATGCTGCTTGCGTTCTCTGTATATTCTGGTTATCAGTCTCTTATCTGAGGCATAGTTTGTAAGTATATTCTCCTATTCCAAGGGTTGTCTCTTCACTTTAATTATTGTTTCTTTTGCTGTGCAGAAGCTTTTTAACCTGATATAATCCCATTTGTCTATTTTTAATATTATTGCCTGTACTTTGGGTCTCATTTAAGAAGTATTTACCTACTACAGTGTCTCCAAGAGTTTTCCCTGTGTTTTCCACCAATAGTTTTCTAACTTGAAGTTTTATGTTTATATTTTTGATCCATTTTGAGCTGATTTTTTTGTTCCCAGGCTGTTTTACATAATAACACATTTGATAATGGGACGATGCCATTTCCCAAAGAAAGAGCTATCATGGCCCATAACACTATTACCAGTATTTGTTTGGGACCAGCTTTGTGCCTAAAGCCATATCAGTCATTTGAGAAAGGCCTAAGGAAGCTTACAATAAAAGATGTAATTATATCTTGGTTGAGAATTTCTAGTCTCAACAAAGACATTTATAGAAACTTAGTCCACTAAGAAATTCACCAACAAAGTGTGATCTCATCCCAAATCAATGTCATATCAACATCATACATATGTTCTTTGCCTTTCTACCTACTAATTTCTATTACTACATTTTTATATTGTCATTCCTTAACATACAAAAATGTGTTTTAAAACATAGTTTCCTGATCACTTAGCTTTATTTCTACATATAAATGAATTTAGTCTTTACCATCCGTGACTTCTCCATTTCTGATTCTTTATTTTGATTTATCACCTATGCACCAAGGTCTAATCGTTAAGTGGTGTTGTTAAAATTCATTTTAATTACCTGTGGAATTAAGTTTAATTACTTACATAAAGCTAATGTCACCGCTGTGCAACATTTTTCATTACATTAAAAATCATTTATGTACCTTTAGAAACAGTATGTGTAAGTGTATGTGTAATTTATATAAAGTGTATGTTAATTCTTTAACTTACTTTTTAAACTCAGTAATCTTAGAGATTTATCCTTGTTAAATTCTACATCTAGATCACTCATTTTGATTGCTTTTAACTCTATACTAATGATGTATCACAGTTTGCCTCATTTGTAGCAATCTCTATATTAGTTTTTCCAGCTATTTGCTAGAAAAATTATTAATTTATTAATTATCAATAATATAGCTCCAAAGCCAGTAGATGGCATAGCAGTTACAGTTACATAGCTAGACTCCTATGTGGCCGACCATGGTTCGAGTCCCAGACCCAGGACTTAAAACTCATGTTTGACGTGTGTGTATGCATGCCCTAGATCCCAAGAGGAGAATGAAAGAGAAGAGATTGCAGCATGGCCATCTCCCTTCAAGGATGATTTCTCACTTTCCTTCTCACTGTCTGTCTCCCTCTCTCTCCAGTGAGCACATGTGCCCTAAAGCAAAATCCTCTTTAAAATAATAATAGCTTCCTTAGGTACATTGTAAGTATAGCTAGAGTAGATATCAAAATATAAAACCCTTGCCTTGGTGGGTTTGTTGGGATGGGTCTGAGGCTTGGCATGTAGCCTAGCCATGTAGCAACTCATGAGTTTGAACTCCCCATCATGTTTCTGAAAGTGACCAGCGCAACTTTGCAGTCATGTGGGTGGCTATACAGTTAGCTGGGCACCATGGATGGCAGGAACACAGAGGTACCACCAAGACCATCCTGGTCACTGTGAACTCTTTCTTTTTCTTTCTGTCTAACCCAGGTGGTCTAGCCATGCCATTCCCTACGTGGATCTCCACGAAGTGAGATCCTCCCTAGGAGACGTCTTGAGTTCTAGGGAAGTTGTATGACTGCCTATGGCTCTCTTTTTCCCTTATAAAACCAGGGGCCTATGGCTCTCTCTTTCCCCTATAAAGCCGGGGGCTTAGGGGAGTTTCTCCATCTGGCACTGTGCTGGCTTAGGGTAGGTGAAAGGATGGCACAAAGTGGAACTATTCTTCTCACCCTCCTAATTCGGTTTTCTGTGAATCACACAGGTGTTTCACACCTATTCCCAAAAAGATGGTCTGCTCTGTGGACAGCTAGTAGTTGAACTTTTTGAAGGTGGAGGGTGGAAACTGAGACTTCTTATTCTGCCATCTTAATTATACTACAACTAAAAAGCAATCTTCATCTTTATGACCTCAATGTATTCCACCAGTATGCCTTCCCATAATGTCGTACCACTGTCTGTTACCATCGTGTTAAAGTTTTACCAAAAATTTGAATGAAAATTTTTTTACTATTTTTTTATTTAATTTATGTTTTTCTAGTCACAAATGAGAATGAACTTATTTTGCTTATTTATGAATTGCCTTCATATCTTTTTTATGTATATTTTTAATTTACATTTAATCAGTATACAGCATATGAAATTATTTCACTGAGCAAGAATAGAGTGTCGGGCCAGCAAGTGGCATAGAGCTTAAGGCACTGGACTTCCACATGACCAATCTTAGTTCAAGTCCCAGACCCGGAAGCTTAAAACTCATGCCAAGCACATGTGCCTGCGTGCCCAAAATCCTGAGAGAAAAATGGAAGTGAAAGGATTACAGTGTGGTTATCCCATCGGGATGATTTCTTACTTTCTCTCTCTATCTTTCTCTGTCTCTCTGGTGAGCACATGTACCCCATATCAGAAATCTCAACAACAGCAACAACAACAACAAAAAATAGACTGTAGATTCATGCAATCAAAGATCTTATCATATACATTATCACCATTAGATAATTTCATTTCTGTATCTTTTAAATTTTTTTCCCTAATTTAATAGTAAGCAAGGCAAGCCAGACTATGAAAGAGAAGCATCATATGTCCCCACTTACTATATATCGAATGTCTGCACTCTACAGCAGAAACTGAGATATTGGATGGTATAAAAGCCGGGAGGGCAATTGTATATTCTAGAGACAGTTTAGGAGGGTGGGCAATAGGCTGGGGGAAAGGAAACAATCAGGGCCTTCATATCCTCTGACCATTGTATTTTGAGTAATTTGTCTCTTCCTGACTTAGTTGGGTAACCAAATCTTTATCTGTTGGATATGCTGCAAATATTTTCTTTGACTTAGTCATCTGTCTTTCAACTGTTTCTGTATGGCATCTGTTTTATTATAGAAGTTTTAATATAAATTTTGTTAGGATGGGATGTAGTGTGAAAATAAATACTGCACTTCTCTCATTTTCATCTTTATATAATTCGCCAAGATTAGAATGAAAGTAATTATATGATTATACATAGTAAGTATTTTATTATCAATGGGTCAGCCACTGTTCAGTTTTGCCTCCCTGGTGCTGTGTTCCAGGCCTTCCCTAAACATAATATTTTCATAGTGCAATTTGACTGAAGAAGGACTTGGCATTATTGATGAATTCAGGGCCTTTGGGGGAATTTTTCCTTTACTTATATATGCATACAGGGCTTTTCTGGGGATTTTGTTTTCTCCATACAACTGTTGAGGAAGAAGGTTAGGGGTGAGCACTAAACAGACCATCCTGGATGGGCCGCTGTAGTATCCAGGCAGGGGAATCACAGCATTTGGGGCCCTTATCAGTTTATCTTCTTTTGGAATGCAGCTCTGCATATAGAGGAAAACATGGTTGGGGAAGACATTCTGAAAATCTCAGAATCCCAGTTATAGTTTGTTACACTAGATAAATACGCCTAGTTTAGCAAGGTAAGAGGAAAGTTGATATTAAATTACATATATGTTAGACTTTTCCCAAAATCCATTCTGATAATAATATACAAAATATTCTTTATGAAATAGCTTTTCTTTCTTTTGTAAAAAGAATTATTTTGTCTAACTTTTATTTTATTTATTTGTTTGTTTGTTTTAATTCAGCCAGAGAGGGACGGCGCGAGAGAGAGAGAGAAAGAGAGAGAGGAAAATGAGAAAGCAAACCACCAGGTCCAGGACTTGAAACACTGTCAACCATGTGGGTGGGAATCCAGCGCCCTTAACTACCATAGCACCTGCCGGCCCTAAAGTAGCTATTATTTCTAAAATAGCTCCAATAACCATAACTTTTTAAACGATATGGCCAATGAACATATTACATAACTTGAAATGATCATATAAGCTGTATTTAAAATATTTTTTAAAAGTATTCTAAGGGAAACAACTTTTCAGGAGAAGCTTAAGATTTTAGGTCACAGAACTTCTGAACGATGTATTGCAGAACTAATTTTCATACGCTTTTTTTGCTTCTTTCTCTAGGTGCTGAGCTATCCGAGCCATTATCCTTGCAGCTCCCACCAAACGTGGTAGAAGACTCTGCCCGAGCCTCTGTTTCAGTTTTGGGTGAGTTTCTAGCTCCTAGTGGATTTGGACAGTAACAACTTCTGCTATATTTTCTTTCCACAAAAATTTACTCAAAATCACAATTTTAATGTTATCCACTTTCTTCTCTTTGACTCCATTTATTGCTTCCAATCATACTTTTGTCCCTGGAAGATTCACCCTTCCTAAAAATTGTCATATATTTTTCTAACTTGGCTGATTATTTATTTAATCTTAATGATTTTTATAGATTATAATCTCTAAACTTTATAACTTCCCATCTCTCCCATCCCCTAGGAGACATACTGGGCTCTGCCATGCAAAACACACAAAATCTCCTCCAGATGCCCTATGGCTGTGGAGAACAGAACATGGTCCTCTTTGCTCCTAACATCTATGTACTGGATTATCTAAATGAAACCCAGCAGCTTACTCCAGAGATCAAGTCCAAGGCCATTGGCTATCTCAACACGGGTAAGTGAGTGAATGAGTGAGCGGAAACTGGAAGATGTTATTCCAACTGGATTTCCCAATAGGCCTGAGTTTCTTATCAATACTATGGTACATTTGCTTATCAAATCAGGTAGTTACTATGATAAGAATACTAGGACAGCTAATTTCATGGAAACTACCCGCTTTCCAAACTCCAGTACAATGTTTAGAGCTCAAAATCTTCTATCTTGTGACCACAACATTTAAGAAAGGTCACAAGAGAGGCCGAGGCATTTTGGTAATTTCTCTGGCCTCAGCATGCGCGTTCTCTATCATTGTTTCATTAACCTTCCATTCCAGGTTACCAGAGACAGTTGAACTACAAACACCATGATGGCTCTTACAGCACCTTTGGGGAGAAACGTGGCAGGAACCAGGGCAATACCTGGTAAGAGAAGGACAATTTCCTTAGCCCTTCTTTTTTGTATTGGTTCTTTCACATCCATCACCACAACTGTATTCACTGAAATCCCATCAGATATGTATTATTAGCCTGGTTGTAGTTGGTTATGCTAGATAAAGACACAAAGTTTAACAAGAAAAGCTGATTTTAAAATCCATGTGTGTTAGACTTTTTCCCAAAATTCATCCTGTGAATAATATACCAAGGTGAGGCCAGCAGTGCACAGTGGTTAAGGTGCTAGACCCCCACGTGGTCGGCAGCGGTTTGAGTCCCAGACCCAGCAGCTTGCTTTCTCACTTTCCCTCTCTCTCTCTGTATTTCTCTGGTCAAATTAATAATAGTAGTAATTAATGAAATTAAATAAATAATTCTTTTTCAAAATAAAATAAATAATATACCAAGGTATTCTTTATGAAATAGCTAGTTTCTTTTTTTTTAAGAATGATTTGTTTAATTTCATTTATTATTATTATTTAAGATTTGCTATAAGGCACTTATGCTCATTACAGAGAAACAGAGAGAGAGGAACAGGGAAAGTGAGAAAGCAAGGCGCCAGGCTTAGGCCTCGAACCACAGTCAACCCTGTAGGAGTCCGGTGCCATCACCACCACACCACCTGCTGGCCCCAAAAGAGCTCATTTTTTCTAAAATAGCTCCCCTTACTTTGAGTTTTTAAATTATTTGGCCGATGAACATATTATATAACTTGAGGTTATCATATAAACCATTTAATTTAGGCTTAAATTACATTTCTTAGGCCAGACCTTTTTTTTTTTTTTTTTTGGTCAGGGGGGAGATGTTTTTGCTATAGGATGCATGCGCTCACCAGAGACATAGAAAGTGAGAAATCACCTCCCTCGGGGGATGGCCACACCACAATCCCTTCTCCTTCATTTTCCTCTTGGGATCTTGGGCACGCACGCATGCACACACACCTAGCGTGAGTTTAAGCCACCAGATTCAGGACTCGAACTGCTGTCAACTACCTGGGAGTCCAGCGACGTAGCCATTACACCATCTGCTGGTCCCCAGACTTTTATTTAAGACTTCTTTTGCCTTTGGGCACATAACTCACCAAAGAGAGAAATGACAGAGACAGTGAAAGGGAAAGTGAGAAGTCACCCCCTTCCCGGGTGGGTTGGCCACACCACAGTCCCTTTTCCTTCATTCTCCTCTCAGGATCTTGGCCACACACATACACATGCCTGGTGTCAGCTTCAAGCCTCTGAGTCCAGGACTGGAACCACAGCTGACTATGTAGGAGTCCAGTGACGTAACTGCTACACCATCTGCTGACCCTGATAGATTGATCTTGACTAAAAATAAATTCACTAACAGGAGGAAATAGTCGAGAAGGCAATGATGAGAAGCATCATTTTTTAAAATTCCTAAAGCAAAGCATTATTAGAAAAAGTTACTACAGAAACCAGCAGGTGGCATGAAGGTTAAAATGGCTGGATCCCACATAGCAGACTTCACAGTTTGAGTCCTGGACCTAGCGGCTTGAAAATCACACCAGGTGCATGTGCATGCACATCCAAAATCCCAACGGGAGAATGGGGGAGAGGGGATGGCAGCATGGCCATCCTACCTGGAGGGTGATTTCTCACTCCCCGCCCCCTCTCTCTCTGCTCTCTCTCTCTCCAGCAAGTGCCCACACCCCATATCAAAATAATAAAAGGAAAAAAAAAAGAAAGAAAGAAAAGCTACTGCATGTAAGAGCTATGTATAGAAAGACTCTGTTGTTTACAGAAGTAAATCTCCCAGGGTGAGGCTCATCCATTGCACTCCAGGTGTGCTGACCCCCGCGATTTCCCCAAATGCGGGAAACTCAAGTACATAATTTGTGATAGTGGGGGACTGTGTGTGCGCTTTCCCCTGGAAAAAAAAATAGAAAAAAAAAGGAATTTCTAAAGAGTGGAGACATTTAAAACACTATTCAAATACATAAGAAAAAAATAATTAAATGTACATAGACTTCGGACCAGCAGATGATGTAATGGTTACATCGCTGGACTCTCACATCGTCGATCATGGTTCAAGTCCCAGACCCAGTGGCTTAAAAGTTACACCAGGCACCTGTGCTTGCATGTCCAAGATCCTGAGAGGAGAATGAGAAGAAGGGATTGTGGGGTGGCCATCCCCTCTGGAGAGTGATTTCTCATTTTCTGTCTCTCTGTCTCTCTGGTGAGTGTACATGCCCTATAGCAAAAAATTCTCAAAAAAAAAAAAAAAAAAAGTACGTAGACTCCCTGTGTCTAAGGGAGAGAGAATCAGCCAGGAAATACTAGATCTAAAGCTCTAACAGATTAAGGAGACTAAGAAAGGCAGGAGCTCCAGCTACACAAGAATTCCTCTAGATGGCTCACATCGGTGTGCAAAGTGTCATATGAAGCCTGTGGCTCTGAAGTGTCTGTAGAGCTAATGGTAACAACGTCAATACCACCATCGCTCCATCACGTCCTCCTCTCTCAGGCTCACAGCCTTTGTGCTGAAGACTTTTGCCCAGGCTCGACCCTACATCTTCATTGACGAACAGCACATTACCCAGGCCCTCACCTGGCTCTCCCAGAAGCAGAAGGATAATGGCTGTTTCAGGAGCTCTGGGTCACTGCTCAACAATGCCATAAAGGTGAACTGTGCGGGGGTTAGCTTTGATTTCTCCAGGAGGATAGCTACAAGGATGAGCAGAGGAAGTAATAACCCTGAAATTCCAAAGGGCAGATACAGAGGAAAGTAAAACCCAGAGAGCATCAAGAGGGGTGGAACGCGGGTTCCTCGTGGTAAAACCCAGAGAGCATCAAGAGGGGTGGAACGCGGGTTCCTCGTGGTACTTCGCACCATGGGATTATGCATGGGTCAGGGTGCATTCCACCCTGCGGCAGAATAGAGTGGATTAAGAGCATTCTCAGAAGCTGAATTACTCACATCTCTCCCTCTCTCGTGTTCACAGGGAGGAGTAGAAGACGAAGTGACCCTCTCCGCCTATATCACGATTGCCCTTCTGGAGATTCCGCTCCCAGTTACTGTAGGTACCGCCCCATTCCTCTGCTGGATGCTAGATCTAGATGCCATGCAACCTCAGACCTGATGTCTAAAGTGTTACCCTGCTACGAGCCAAATGTCAGTATTCCTTCTGTGCAATGCCAATGCTTTCCAGATCAACAGAGAATTTGGTCAATCCATTAAGACAGGGCTAGCAAGTGGAGAGGTCCTTAAGATGCTGGATTCTCACGTGGCTGACCGTGGTCCAAGTCCTGGATCTGGTAGCTTGCTTTCTCACTCTCTATCTCTCTCTGTCTTTCACTGGTCGAATTAAAATAATAATAATAATAAATAAAATTAAGTAAGCTCATTTTTTTTGGGGGGGAGAGTTTTTTGCTATAGGGCACATGCACTCACCAGAAAGACAGAGAGACACAAAGCGAGAAATCACCCCCCAGGGGGATGGCCATGCCGCAATCCCTTCTCTTCCATTCTCCTCTTGGGATTTTGGGCATGCACACACACATGCCCAGCGTGAGTTTAAGCCACCGGGTCCAGGACTCAAACCGTGGTCAACTACATAGGAGTCCAGTGACATAGCCATCATACCAACTGCTGGCCCCAATTCTTTAAAAAAAGGAAGATTTTCACTTCCCGGTTATACTTTTCCTTGCCTCTTCCCTTCCCCCCAAACCAGAATCCTAACAATATGGTCGATATTTCACGTTTTGAATAAGAGTATAAGAGATGTAAAAAAATACTACTCACTGGGTGACTCTAAGACAGAGGTTAAAGGGAGCTGGACTTTTACATGACCAACTATATGGTTCAAATACTGACCCTCCGCATTCCCTGCAGCTTGGAAAACATGCCAGGCATGTGTGCATGTGTGCCCCAAATCCTGACGGGATGGAGAAATAGAGAAGAAGGCCTTGCAGTGTGACCACACCCCATTGGGAAAGCTTCCCCCCCTTCCCCTCTCCCTTTCTCTTTCTTTCTCTCTCTCTCTGTCTATTTCTCTACAGAGCACAGATGCTCTCTGACCAAAAAATAAATAAATAAATAAATGTTAATATTACTTACTCCACCCATAAAAATAAAAAATAGAACCAGCAGGTGGCATGGTGGTTGAAGTGCCAGACTCCCACATAGTTAACTGTGGTTTGAGTCCCAGAACTGGTGGCTTACTTTTTTTTCGGAGAGGTTTTTTCGCTATAGGGCACGTGTGCTCACCAGACAGAGAGAGACATAGAGACAGAAAGCAAGAAATCACCCCCCAGAGGGGATGGTCACGCCGCAATCCCTTCTCCTCCATTCTCCTCTGGGATCTTGGGCATGCACGTACACGCGCCCAGCGTGAGTTTTAAGCCACCGGGTCCAGGACGCGAACCGCGGTCAACTACATGGGAGTCCAGCGACATAGCCATTACGCTAACTGCTGGTTCCCAGTTACTTTTTCATTTTCTCTCTCTTCATCTTCTCTCTCTCTCTCTCCTCTCTCTCTCTCGGGAATGTGCCCTGTAGAAAATTTTTAAATGATAATAATATTTTAATGAAAAACAAAGGGACAAATTCATTTGGGAAATTTCTTTACTTCCTGTGCTACGGTCTGTATGGCTACTTAGGAACTCTAACACCCTTGTTCACATGCCCGGGTCCCCTCTTGGTTCCCCTTCCACAGCACCCTGTTGTCCGCAATGCCCTGTTCTGCCTGGAGTCAGCCTGGAAAGCAAAGAAGGAGGGAGCCCATGGCAGCCATGTCTATACCAAGGCACTGCTGGCCTACGCGTTTGCCCTGGCCGGTAACACAGACAGGAGGAGAGAAGTACTCAGCTCGCTTAATGAGGACGCTATCAAGAAAGGTGAGGGGACCCCTGAGATCTCTCTCCTGTCCCTCTTTCTCTGTATCGATAACTGTAGTTCAGAAATCCTCACTCACATCTCTTGTGATCCCCATTCCCTCTTCTCTTGTATTTATATCAGTATCTTTTGTCCAGATTTTATTTTTACAGAATTAGAATTTTTAAATCAAATTAGACATATCAATAGAAATAGCCACAATGAACCAGAGGACTTGTTCTGTCGTGTCTTTCTCCCACCAACCCCACCACAGCAACTAGAAGGAAACATAAATGGCAGGCTGGCCTTGGCCCTACTGGTTAAGGGAGCCAGGTCCCTCATGGCCAACTGTGGTTCAGGCCCTGCAGCCTGAAAAATATACCAGGCACATGTGTCTGTGTGCCCAAAATCTCAACAAGATGAATTAATGGAGAAGGGGACCAGCAGGTGGCGTGGTGGTTAAGGAGCTGGATACTCCCACATGTCCAACACAATTCTAGTCCCAGACCTGGTGGCTTGCTTTCTCATTTTCTCTCTCTCTTTCTCTCTCTCTCTCTCTCCCTCTCTCTCTGGTCAAATTAAAAAAATAATAAAATAAATGAATAGATAAAATTAAATAAATAATTCTTTAAGAAAAAACATTGTACAACAATGAGCATTAAAAAAATAATGGAGGAGAAGAAATTACAATGTGACTCCATGCCAAAAATCCTGAGGGGAGAATGGAGGAGAAGGGAATGTGACATGGCCGTTCTCCCCGGGAAGTACTTCCTCACTTGCTCTCTCTTTCTCTTCTTCTCTCTGGCAAGTACATGCACCCTATAGCAAACTAAAATAATGATAATAATAATAATGAAATCGGAATATGTATCCTCTGGCAGATCTCTCTCTTTCACACTCAGATAACTCAGTCCACTGGGAGCGACCTCAGAAGCCGAGGACAGGAGGGGGGTATTTGTTCCGACCCCAGGCACCCTCTGCTGAGGTGGAGATGACCGCCTACGTGCTCCTCGCTTACCTCACACCCCAGCCTGCCCGAACCTCCGAGGACCTGACGTCCACCACACACATTGTGAAGTGGATCACAAAGCAGCAGAATTCCCAGGGCGGCTTCTCCTCCACCCAGGTGAGTGATTTGCCAGAAGTGTTTCTTTCACCTTCACCACCTTCAGGTAGCAAAAGGCTTAAACCAGACGTACACCCGCACGAGGAGTGAAAATGAAGGACAGTAACTTGAGGCAATGGTGTTCAGGGATAATGAGAAACAGGAGAAAATGAAAGCCAAAGAGGGTTGGGGGGGAAATGTCTGGGATTCCTGCACCCCATCTGTGCATTCGTTTCACAGTCTCCTATTTCCAGGAACAACTTCCTCTCCCTGAAGCAGTAAGAAGGCCCCAGTAGAATGAAGGGATACCCTCCTACCACTCTCCTAGAAGCCCTACGAGTCTTTCACGTTGTTCACAGCAGTCCTCCTCAAGCCGACCCTCTGTCTCGGCACATCCCTCCACCCTTAGGTCACTGCTGTCTTTAAAGCTGACACTTCCCGTGTTGCCCCTCTTTTTCTTTTTTTTTTTTTTTTTAGCTCAAGAGAGATTTTGGCTCTTAGGGAATGTACCCTTGCCAGAGAGACAGAAAGCGAGAAATCACTATTCTATTATTTCCAGTTTGAAAGTTAATGAATATTAAGAAAATGACATATACCATGGAGACATGGCAGGTGGCATAGTGGTTAAGGGCGCTGGACTCCCACATGGCCAACTGCGGTTCGAGTCCCAGGCCTGATAGTTTGTTTTTCGCTTTTCCTCTCTCTCTCTGTCTCTCTCTTTCTCTCTGCCCCTCTAAATAAATAAATAAAGTTAAATAAAATAATCCTTTAAATAAATAAAGTTTAAAGAAAAAGTGTGAGTTTATTAAAAAAAAAAAAAAAAAACCTGCCTTAATATAATATTTAAAATATTCCAATATTCCAATAAGGAGAGGGAGAAAACACTCCTCAATGGGGCATGGTCACACCACAATCCCTTCTCCTCTATTTCCTCATCCTGTGGGATTTGTTTTTCAGTCCATTTCGTCCGGGACTCGAACTGTGGTTACCCATGTGGGATCTGGCTGCCTTAACGACCAGGCCATGGAGCCAGCCTAAGTCACATTTTATATGACTCTGGTTTATACATGTATCTAATACATTTGTGTGCCTTTTTCTCTGTTAAAAAAATCCAATAAAAAATTCCACATCAAAATGTCATTCAATCAAAAAGATCATTATAATATTCACTTGTTATTTATTTCCTTTGGAGAAACTGGAGCATGACCCAGATGATAGTTCCTACAAAGGACCTTGGGTTCCCTCGGGGCACTGACTTCAGCAGTAGAGCAGTTTAATCTGGGAAAGAACGAGAGAACTGGTCTGGCCGTGGCAAATATGGTCACAGTTGTCAGGAAAGACGTCCTTGGCAAAGAGCTGACACCAGTAAATGATTCCCATCCACATAGATTACTCCACACTCTGAATAGGATCAATCTTCTTTTTATTTTTATTTTTTTGTTTTTGTTTTAAAGAGATTTTTGCTATAGGTCACATACGCTCACCGGCCACCGGAGACACAGAGAGAGTAAAAGTGAGAACTCGTCCCCCCAGAGGGGTGACCATACTGCAGTCCTTCTCCATTCTCCTCTCAGGATCCTGGGCACACATGCTCATGCACCCTGCGTGAGCCCCAAGCCACTGGGTCTGGGACTCAGACCGCAATCGGCCATGTGGGAGGTCAGTGCCCTAGCCACTACACCACCTGCTGGCCCAGGATCAATCTTCTGATAAATAAGGTCAACTTTTAGGGCATACCATCCAATGCTATGGTCCTGACATCTCTCTAAAGATTGCAATCAACCTTAAACTTAGAACTCCAAGATTAAATGTGGGGGAAATAGGAACTCAAAGCCCCATTGCAGCATGAACGTGGTCTTTGGTCACAGGCCTCAAAGTTAGCATACCTAAGTGGAAATGCTCTCGTTCATCTCATCCAGGACACCGTGGTGGCCCTCCACGCTTTGTCCAAGTACGGAGCAGCCACGTTTACCAAGACCGGGAAGGCTGCCGAGGTCACTGTCAAATCTTCAGGAACATTTTCCACAAACTTCCAAGTGGACAATGACAATCGCCTGCTACTGCAGCAGGTCTCGTTGCCAAAGGTGCCAGGAGAATACAGCCTGAGCGTGGCCGGACAGGGATGCGTCTACCTCCAGGTGAGACCCTTGGGCACGTGAGGAAGAGGTACTACAGTAACCGTTCTCACCGAAAAGCCCTACCCTGAGCCATGGAACGAGTCAGGGAAAGAACTGAGGAAGTGGAGAAGGCTGGAAAAGGGAAGAAATAATTTTTGTCTTTAATGTTTCTAGACATCCTTGAAATACAATATTCTCCCAGGAAAGGAAACGTTCCCCTTTGCTTTACAAGTGAAAACTGTGCCCGAAACCTGTGATGGACCCAAGGCTCACACCAGCTTCGAGCTCTCACTGAATGTCAGGTAAGCCCTTCCAACCGTATCACCCAAGTCTGGGAATAACAGCCAACCCCAACTGGAACTCCTCGCTAAGTAGAGCAGGGCGGCGGTGAAGTTTGCTCTGGATTCACTGAGAAAGCATAACAGAGTGTCTCAGTGATGGGTTTTTCTTCATTGCCAGAGCGCGCTGGGCTCACCGGAGAGAGAGAGAGAGACAGAGATGAAGGGGAAGAGAGAAAAAGCATCTCCTATAGACCAGGGTCATGCCACGATCCTTTCTCCTCCATTTCTCCATCTCATCAGGATTTGGGGCACACACACACACGTGCCCGGTGTGTTTTCCAAGCTGCTAGGCAGAGATGTAAGCTGTGTGGTCAGCCACATGGGATCAGCCTCCCTTACCATTAGGCTACAGGGTCAACTCAATAATGGGGTTCCTATGCCCATCCTCTGTCTCCAGGATCTATTATTACCCAACGTCACTATCTAAAGATTAATAGTTCCTCTTGAAAATAACTTAAGAATGTTACCCTTTGTTTATAATTACATTGAAATTCCTTTTTTTTTTGCTTATGATTCTTTTCATTCTTATTATACATTTGTTATTTCCTTTCTAGCATTGTCTACTCATAGCAGTTTTGCCTATTTTCTTACTTTTTTTGTCCACTCTTCATTTTGTTTATATTAAATTTAGATTACATCATTATATATCTCTATAGTGCACAATATGATTTTTTGAAATTCCTTCTAATGTAAAGAATTCTGTTTTATTCTTGCTTTATTCAGGACAGAGATGGAGAATTCCTGAAAGTTTTGTTGGTTTTCTGTTTGTTTGTTTGTTTGGTTTTGGTTTTGGTTTATTTTCTTAGAGATTTTTGCCATCGGGACATGTGCTTGCCTGAAACACTGAGAAAGACAGAGAGACAGAAAGAGAGAGAAACCACTGCCCAGAAGAAAAGCCATCCTCCATTCTCTTCTTGGGATTTTGGGCCTGCATGCACTTATGCCCAGCCTGAGTTTCAAGCCACTGAGTCTGGGATTCAAACCACAGTCGACCGTGTGGGAGCCCAGCACCTTAACCGCTACACCACCTGCTGGCCCCCTGAAAAGTTTGAATGGAGGGAAGTCACAGCTCTTTAGATAGAATTTCTACTGGTAATAAATGAATCTCAGGTTATATGCCGCATAATCAGTTTTGAAGAAAAATGCATTTATATGCAGCAAAATTCAAATACCTTCAGAGTTTACCAAAAAAATATCTTTACATCAGAATATTGTAACTTGCTTGGGGATACTATTCAGGAAAAAAGTTAAAGTAAAGTATATGCAATGAATATGGCATGGATCAGAGGATTCAAAGTCATGCATCATTTACAGAGCTTTCTTAAAATGTACATTCTCAGGACCAGCAGATGGCATAATGGTTCTGTCACTGGACTCCCACATAGTTGACCATGGTTCAGATCCCGGACCCGGTGGCTTAAAGCACACTGGGCACATGTGCATGTGTGCCCAAGATCCTGAGAGGAGAATGGAGGAGAAGAGATTGTGGTGTGGTCACCCGTCCCGGGGGATGATTTCTCACTTTGTCACTCTGTCTCCCTCTTTCTCTGTCTCTCTGGCGAGTACATGTGCCCTACAGGAATAATATCTCTAAAAAAAAAAAAAAAAGTGGATTCTCAGAGTCCCACATTTGAAATTTTAACTCATCGAGTTGGAATAAGGCCTGGTCTCTGTGACTTTAACACAGTCCCTAAAAATGTAACACATAACCAGTTTCCAAACCAGTGGCGGAGGATAATTGAGAAGGCCAATGTGGACCTTTTAAAGCTGTCAAGTGCTTCATGAGGACATAGAGAAAGAGAGTATTTAATAACACGGAAACCCTAACTGCTTTCTACCCTGGGTCTTCAGTTACACCGGGAGCCGCGCTGCCTCCAACATGGCTATCGCTGATGTGAAGATGGTATCAGGCTTCATTCCCCTGAAACCAACAGTGAAAATGGTAGGTTAAATATAAGTCCAAGGTACCCGATTTTATTTCATGGATTTTTTTTTCTTTACTTTTTTAAATTAATTGCCAGAGGGCATGTGCCCTTACCAGAGAGCGAGAAAGAACCTCACCCTGCCCCATAAGGTATGGTTGGTTGTACCATGACCCTTCTCCTCTGTTTTGCCATCCTGTCAGATTTTAGGGCACAAATGCTCTTGTGCCTGGCACATTTAGGAACCACTGGGGCAGGATCAGAACCATGGTTGGCCATCTGGGATCCCACTCTTGATACACTGCACTTAACCACTCCACCATAGGGCCAGCCTTTTGCTTTGCTTATTCATGCTAGACACATGCTTGGGTACATGCATGAGAGAAAGACAGAGGAGAGTACGCCCTCCACAGGTCTGACCCTCTGCTATGCCCTTCCTCTGTTCCTGCACCCTGTCGGATCCTGGGCACTTGAGCGTGTGCCCGACATGTTTCAGGAGGACTTGACCAGGGCTTCAGCTGTAGTCGCCGTGTGGGATCTGGCCTCCCTTGAGCAGCGGGTTACTGCTGCCCCAGGAAGCCAGCCAAGTATAATGCTTCATGCATCTTCAGACTAAGATAAAACTGTTATTCAAATACTGTTACGCACCATCAAAGACTTCTATTTTTCTAAACTCAGAAATATAATTTAGCCTACTCGTATGATTATCCACTACTGCAAAGCTCTCTGCTAGGAGCCAAGATCACTTAAAAAAATAAATACCAGCATGTTCCCATTTTCATGGAACTTAGAATTTTGTTAACAAAATACAGTGTGCCAGGAACCAGTTTAGACATATGAAAATGACCGATGGATTTTTAAACTGTATCATAAAAGCTAAGAGAAAAATGAGGTCACTCTGTGAAGCAAAAAGAAGGAAGAAAAACTCCTTTATGAAGCAATAGAATGTGGATTGAACCTTGAAGTATGAGTAATTTGAGGTTGAGGCTATTTGGTTCCTGTTTCTTCAGGTAAAGCAACTTTTACATATGTGACCTACTAATATTAAGCCCTTCATCCAGAATGTCTCTTATTCTTAATTTTATATTACATGTTCCAGAGGGCATGTGCCCTTACCAGAGAGCGAGAAAGAACCTCACCCTGCCCCATAAGGTATGGTTGGTTGTACCATGACCCTTCTCCTCTGTTTTGCCATCCTGTCAGATTTTAGGGCACAAATGCTCTTGTGCCTGGCACATTTAGGAACCACTGGGGCAGGATCAGAACCATGGTTGGCCATCTGGGATCCCACTCTTGATACACTGCACTTAACCACTCCACCATAGGGCCAGCCTTTTGCTTTGCTTATTCATGCTAGACACATGCTTGGGTACATGCATGAGAGAAAGACAGAGGAGAGTACGCCCTCCACAGGTCTGACCCTCTGCTATGCCCTTCCTCTGTTCCTGCACCCTGTCGGATCCTGGGCACTTGAGCGTGTGCCCGACATGTTTCAGGAGGACTTGACCAGGGCTTCAGCTGTAGTCGCCGTGTGGGATCTGGCCTCCCTTGAGCAGCGGGTTACTGCTGCCCCAGGAAGCCAGCCAAGTATAATGCTTCATGCATCTTCAGACTAAGATAAAACTGTTATTCAAATACTGTTACGCACCATCAAAGACTTCTATTTTTCTAAACTCAGAAATATAATTTAGCCTACTCGTATGATTATCCACTACTGCAAAGCTCTCTGCTAGGAGCCAAGATCACTTAAAAAAATAAATACCAGCATGTTCCCATTTTCATGGAACTTAGAATTTTGTTAACAAAATACAGTGTGCCAGGAACCAGTTTAGACTTATGAAAATGACCGATGGATTTTTAAACTGTATCATAAAAGCTAAGAGAAAAATGAGGTCACTCTGTGAAGCAAAAAGAAGGAAGAAAAACTCCTTTATGAAGCAATAGAATGTGGATTGAACCTTGAAGTATGAGTAATTTGAGGTTGAGGCTATTTGGTTCCTGTTTCTTCAGGTAAAGCAACTTTTACATATGTGACCTACTAATATTAAGCCCTTCATCCAGAATGTCTCTTATTCTTAATTTTATATTACATGTTTACTTACAAAAAATAAAGAAAGAAATTCTACCCTCAAGCTATTTTGGTAATAAAAAAATATCTGTTTTCTCCAAATCACTCAGGGGTTTTAATCTACTTATTAACATTCGCCGTGTCTTAATTTTCTTCAGCTTGAGAAGTCTGATCATGTGAGCCGGACAGAAGTCAGCAACAACCATGTCTTGATTTACCTGGATAAGGTGAGAGCCCTACCAGCCCCGCTGTAAAAATAAATAAAAAGTAGTGACCCCTCTGAAGGAACCATCTGGGAAGTAAGTGAAAGCGTTTTGAAGATGTCACCACTTTGTCAGAAATTCGAGAATTCTCATATTAATTCCAGTAAATGTTCTCTGCTTATTTATGTTTTACCTGGGATTATAGGTAGAAATGACTTATTATAATATTGGGGTATGACTATTTCTAGGACCTTGTAGGCAAGTTAGTCTCCACAGAATGTGTTCATCGTGTCCCCAAGTGACTTGGAAAACACCAGCTACTGTAAGAAGTAACCGTCATGATTAGTCAATTACATCAACGCCCCAGGCAACATTATAAAAGGGGAAAATATCATCTTGGCAAGGATGTGGACCATAGCATGACAATATCAGCCCACCAACGAACCAACCTGATTGTATAGATATGGGTGTTAGAGTTTAGTTATGCCTACATTGATAGGAACTATAACTTACAAATTTCATAAAACTTAAAGGAGGCTGCCATAATCAACCTTTTATATGCCTCTTTCAGTCTACACAGGTATTGCTACAAGGTATAGACGTGAAACTGTACCAAACTCTGGATATTTAAAAATGGACATAGTCAACCAGTATAAACCACAGAGCATCTACCCCCGCGAATAGAGCCATGTGCTGGTATTGATGAACATATGTGTTAGTTATTCAAGAAATAATCTGGGGACTTCCTTGTCTACTGAGAGCTTTCTACACAATTTAAGAACACCGTAACGTGCTTTTAGTTGTAATGTGCTTTTAATTTTTTTCCCCAATAATAGGTGATTGCTTACATGTATACAAAGAGAGAAAAAAGTTCTCTGGAAAGTCATGTAATTCTCTTGTGCTTTCCAGGTGTCGAATCAGACACTGAGCATGTCCTTCAGGGTCCTGCAAGATGTTCCAGTAAGAGATCTGAAACCAGCCATAGTGAAAGTCTATGATTACTATGAGAAAGGTGAGTCCGAGCAACTTTCACATACAAATTAAATTCCTGATCATAAACATTTAGATTTGAGGAGGGGTTGGGATGATTACATTAAAGGTTCTATCTTTCATTTTTTTCCCACCAAGCTTGGTTCTGTTCTTTTTTGTCTTCTATACGTACATTATAGAAACTACCTACAATATAAATATATTAACTATTAATACAAAACACCTGTAGAATATATATTTAGTTCCCTTCTCATCAGATAAATTTACAGAGGACCTGGGGCCAGCAGGTGGCATGGTGGTTAAGGACCCTGGACTCCCACATGGCCGACTGCTGTTCGAGTCCCGGACCTGGTGGCTTGCTTTCTCTCTTTCTCTTTGTCTCTCTCTCTCTGTCCCTCTCCAGTCAAATTAAAGTAAGTAAATAAAGTTAAAGTAAAATAATTCTTTAAAAATCATTTACAGAGCACCATGTGTGAGGTAAGTACGTATAAAATCTAAACTGTCCTTTAGGAGTTTAGGGTAGAAGAAGATATACTATATATAAAAGGATAATGTTGAGTCATCAGAAAAGTCATGACATATTTTTCTATGTTCGTCTATACGGCCAGCAGCACATCGCATGAATGATACTAACATGTCGATACAGTACAACTCTTGCCACACCAAAGATTCTTCCACTTACCCACATCCCACAGGTGTTTGCTTTCCCTTTTACTTCATGTAATGATTTTTTGCTTTTCTTTTGTCTTAAGATGAGTTTGCAGTTGCCGAGTACAATGCTCCTTGTAGCAAAGGTGAGCAATTCACACTCCTTCTTGCAGTCAGAATTCCTTTGGCTCATCCTCTAATCTCCTCCTTCATAAAATTATGACTAAATATTTTCCAAAGACATAATGTTATATCCCACTACACATAATTATAGAAAAAGGCATTTAACTGGGGAGAATCCCTGACTGTCAAACCTTAGGCAATTCAAAGAATTGCTTATTGGGTAATGATCTGTAATAGAATCCTATTTCCCACTGTCTTAGTTGGATTTCCTTAAGCACTAGGCTACCCAGTCCTAAGGAAAGGGATTTTCTCTGCTCATGGAAACCCAGGGTCATCTCAATTTTCCTTTCTTCCCAATACCACAGATCATGGAAATGCTTGATGTCCACATGAACAAATGCTTTGCTGGAGTCCTTGTTCTCAGGACCCCATGGAAGATAAATGGTTTTGTACTTTCAAAGACTTGATAAATAAACCTTTTTTTTTTCTGGTCAGTCTCTATCGCTGTTTCCTCACTTATTGAATGATTTTTTTTTCTGTATGATTCCCAAATTGAATCCTGAAATAAAAAATGAATAGCAATCAAGGCTGAGAGACTTCAGATATGAAAAATGTGGTGGTGCCGCTAGGAGTAGGCTTGGTGTAGGTGTTGCAGGGAAAAGAACAAAGTACTGGATTCTATACAAGAGGAGTATAAAGTCTGTTTGTTTATGATAATACCCTAAGAAAAATCCAAAGGGTATAGTTTAATAAGAAAATAAAGGACTGACTTGATTTTTTCTATGTTCGTCTATACGGCCAGCAGCACATCGCATGAATGATACTAACATGTCGATACAGTACAACTCTTGCCACACCAAAGATTCTTCCACTTACCCACATCCCACAGGTGTTTGCTTTCCCTTTTACTTCATGTAATGATTTTTTGCTTTTCTTTTGTCTTAAGATGAGTTTGCAGTTGCCGAGTACAATGCTCCTTGTAGCAAAGGTGAGCAATTCACACTCCTTCTTGCAGTCAGAATTCCTTTGGCTCATCCTCTAATCTCCTCCTTCATAAAATTATGACTAAATATTTTCCAAAGACATAATGTTATATCCCACTACACATAATTATAGAAAAAGGCATTTAACTGGGGAGAATCCCTGACTGTCAAACCTTAGGCAATTCAAAGAATTGCTTATTGGGTAATGATCTGTAATAGAATCCTATTTCCCACTGTCTTAGTTGGATTTCCTTAAGCACTAGGCTACCCAGTCCTAAGGAAAGGGATTTTCTCTGCTCATGGAAACCCAGGGTCATCTCAATTTTCCTTTCTTCCCAATACCACAGATCATGGAAATGCTTGATGTCCACATGAACAAATGCTTTGCTGGAGTCCTTGTTCTCAGGACCCCATGGAAGATAAATGGTTTTGTACTTTCAAAGACTTGATAAATAAACCTTTTTTTTTTCTGGTCAGTCTCTATCGCTGTTTCCTCACTTATTGAATGATTTTTTTTTCTGTATGATTCCCAAATTGAATCCTGAAATAAAAAATGAATAGCAATCAAGGCTGAGAGACTTCAGATATGAAAAATGTGGTGGTGCCGCTAGGAGTAGGCTTGGTGTAGGTGTTGCAGGGAAAAGAACAAAGTACTGGATTCTATACAAGAGGAGTATAAAGTCTGTTTGTTTATGATAATACCCTAAGAAAAATCCAAAGGGTATAGTTTAATAAGAAAATAAAGGACTGACTTGATTAAAAAGGACTTTTTATGTTCAAGGTAAGTAATAAAATACAAAGTTGGACAGGTCATATTGGGAGATGACCTGAAGTGAAAGTCCTGTGTCCTAAGTTACCAACATCTGCCACTGGTAGGGAAGAGTAATCAGGTAGCTAACTGTGTGCCTCAGAGTCAGTACGGGTGACAGATTGAAAAGGTTGCATGGGTGACACGTGTAGAAGCAAAGTTTCTCTAGAAAAAGAGTACATACGATTCAAAACCCACATAGGAGTGTTATGTTGGAGCATCGTTCTTGAGCCAGAATGAAAGGATATATGTGAAGTTAGAGAGGACCAGCCCATTGAGCAGTGGTTAAGTGCAATACATTGGTAACTGGATCTCACATGGCTGACCATGGTTTGAATCCCAACCCTGGTGGCTTGAACAACACATTGGGCAAGTGTGCATATGTGCCAAAAATCCCAATGGGCTGGAGAAATGCAGAAAAGGGAATCGTGGCATGATCACCACCCAATGGAGGGTCCTTTCTCTCCTCTCTCTCTCTCTCTCTCTCTCTCTCTCTCTTTCTTTTATTTCTCTCTCTCTCTCAAGCACAGATGCCCTCGCCTGTTGAAGAATAAATAAATAAAGTCAAGGATATCTTCAGATACTGAAATAAAACCTTTTACAATATCAAGTCTCTACATCTATGTAGTCTCTCTCTCTTTAAATATTTTATTTTCTTCACAATACAAAAATTTTCCATTATATGAAAGGGGAGAAGCTTCAGGAGTTTGTAGAAAAGAAATGAGAGGGACCAGCAGATGTTGTAATGGTTATATCCTACATGGCTGACTGAGGTTCAAATCTTGGATCCAGCAGCTTGAAATTCACACCTGGTGCATGTGTGTGTGCCCAAGATCCAGAAAGGATACTGGAGAAGAAAGGATTACAGTGTGGTCATCCCCTCTGGGGAGTGATTTCTTGCTTTCTGTCTCTGTCTCTCTGGTGAGCACTTGTGCCCTACAGCAAAAAATCTCTCTTAAAAGAAAGAAAGTAAAGAAAAAAAGAGAAAGAGGTTAAGACTAAAGGATTGGGTAAGCCTGTGGTCTTTATGGTTAAGACAGCTAGATCTCAATGGTCAACTGCATGGTTCAAGTCCTGGACTCAGCAGCTTGAAAAACACACACACACACACACACACACACACACACACAGGGCATGTGTGCATGAATACCCAAAATCCCAAGGAGAGGGAGAGATGGAGGAAAAGGGATTGTAGTGTGACCAGTTCCTTATGGGGGTGCTCTCTTGCATTCTCTCTGTGTATTTCTGTCTCAGTCTCTCTCTGACAAGCTCACGCCCCCTCTGGAAAATTAAGCAAAAAAAAAAAAGGCAGGAGGATTCAGAGCCAAAAGGTTCTCAGGGGGCAGTTCCAGGCACTTGAGTCATCATTGTACATCAAAATAACAATGTTCACTTTGAAAGAAGAAAAGTGTATATAAGCTAAGAACTCAAAGGGATTTTGAAATTCAAGCAATCTTTGACTCTCTCCAGGCTGAAAAAAAAAAAAACAATAGAAAATGAAAACTATCACTTTTGTGCCTAGTTATGCTCTAAGAACTTCACAGATGTTAACATGTCAACTCTATGAAATAGGTACAACTCTTAACAGATGAGGAAATTAAGACAAAAGTCGAACAGTTCACTGAAAATATTAGAGACCTCAAGCGAAGATTCACCAGACAACCCCAAGACTCCACACCAACCCAGAAAAATGAGGCAAACCCCATCAGAGGTGGTAGTATCATCCCAAGAATCAAGACTTGCCCTGTCGATCAATAACTCTCCTTCTTTGTTACACGGTGCTAATACTTTAGATCCAATGTTTTCCTCCAGTGGGTCCCATGGTGTGCTGATCTGAAACACAGTTGATTGCTGGGTTTGTGTCAGTAACCTATAACCAGGACTTCTGGACCCCATGATGGATATCCCCACTAAAAGAAAATGATCGTAGAGTATGAAGAGACTACAATTTGTCTGGATAAAAAGTCATTCTTTTGTTTTACAGACTTCTCTGTTCATTGCCCCACAAACTACCTTAGGCATAACTTTTTTATTTTCATGTGTGAAAACCAATAGATTGTCTTTGAAAATGGTCAAACAAAGCCCCTAAGTAAGTTGACTCATCTCTTCGAAGAACACTCCAATTATGGGGCAGGCATGTGTAAGAGGGTCTTCAAAAATTTATGAAAACGTGTATTGTGAGAACAAATATGCATGTCTTTAGATCTTTTTTTTGCACCAAATACACTCATACTTTCATTTTATTTTTCTATAAACTATTTTAAGTCCTTCCTATGGTTTGCTCCTGGTGATGGACATCAATAACCAGACTTGATTATCTCTTCTGGGGACAAAATAATCATACTAAAATAAGTGCACCAGATAATACTTGCCACCTGGGGTGGTGCCCACCTGAGTCCTGTACCACTATAATAACCTTAAAGTCCCTGATTGGTTCAAATGTGCTGGGAGTGGTGACCTGGTATCGCAGGATATAAAACTCAGTGACTCTGTAAAACAAATATTGAGGGAACCAGCAGTTAGCGTAATGGCTATGTCGTTGCTGGACTCCCACATAGTCGACTGTGGTTCGCGTCCCGGACCCGGTGTCTTAAAACTCACACCAGGCGCATGTGCGTGTGTGCCCAAGATCCCAGGAGGAGAATGGAGAAGAAGGGATTGCGGCATGACTATCCCCCCTGGGGGGTGATTTCTCGCTTTCTGTCTCTATGTCTCTCTCTGTGTGGCGAGCGCACGCGCCCTAGAGCGAAAACCTCTCCAAAAAATAAATAAATAAAACAAATATTGAGTCCTGGCTTCCCAGTGGTTGGATAGAATGTTACACTTTTTAGGTTTTTCTTGAGTAAATGAGCAAGTTCAACCCACTCTTTTTTTTTTTTTTTTATCATTTATTTTATTTTTTTAATTTTTTTTTTTTTTT